TCGACCGAACCTTTCCAAAAACCGGTGACCATTGTGTCGCTTGGCCATTATTTCATTATGATAATTCCGTACGTATCTATAAAGTTGTTTTGCCGCCGCTCAGCTGACACAAGGCTGGCATTTTGGCAATAAGAATTTTGTGTGTGTTTGTGAAAACGACAAATAACAACACAGAATTTCAGTATTGAATTGTGATTCAACAGCTGAAATACAAACAACAGAAAAAAGACAGCAACAAAAACCACAGAATTTTTGACAATGCAATTAACGTGAATTTGTTATTTGTGCTAAAAAAAAAATGACTTTAGCTTATATAACTGTGCTTTAATGATTCGTTTCAAGTTCGCAAATAAATCAGCGAGGAAATGCTTGTATAAATATTGATAAACATTTAAGAGTTTGCTGTGCAAAATGTTGTGGTCTTATCGCTCTTTGATTTGTGTTCGCCTATGTTGTACGATAAGTAAACATCATGATAAAACTAACTGAAATCGGAGATTATAGTACAGTGAAAACTGGCAAGGAGGAGGAGAACCAAAGGTTAATAAAAAGTGTGATAAAATATGTCTAGGAAGGGAAACTAAACCAAAAGATACACCAGATACAAAGAAATCCCTGAAATACTCTCCTCTTTCATCACCTTAGTTGCATTCAAATTCCTGAATGTAAATAGTAAAATAGGAACTTAACTTTTTAGCACTCAAATCAAGACCCCCTTGGTGTTGTTACCAATTTGCATTCCCTCGAAAGTGGCATACCTGTGGCAAAAAACAAGTTCGACCCCAACTTTCCCACCTAATCAAGCTCAAGTGAGTTTATATTTCGCTTATGATTTCATGGCAATACAACCACAAAAAATATATACGTTTAGCAAACCAGAATTACGCTCCTAATTGCTGCGAAAGTTGCCAGTGTTTATTCCAGAAATCGAAAGCTGCTTCCAGCTGTCAATGGGTTGGCCCTGTGCCAAAACATTTCTAATGCGCGCTACCAAGCGCCCAGCAAATCAGCGGCTGTCGGCAAACGATTTAGAATCGATTCCAATGAGCAACAGGGACGGCTTGAGGAACGGAGCGAGAGGAAAAGCAATCAGTTAAGGTTAACTTAACCCTTTGGGTGTTGAGAATATGGGGGATTTGGGAATTTTAAATCGAAAAAGTTCAAGTCAATAAATAAAAGACTTTGAAGGCTGCAGACATTTGGTTTCTGGTGAATTTAAATGTTTTCAAAAATTATATTAAATATAATACATTATCTTGCAACATTTACCATCTTATATTATACTAAAAATGCCTTAACTGAGATTTAAAAAGATATTTTTAAATATATAAAAATGTTCCCCTTAAATTAAAACCTAAAGTTTTGTATACTTGTATTTTTAAAAATATTTAAAAATATTTCAACCAAATAAATTAAAGTTAAAAACTTAAGAAATTAGTTTTCTTTAGCCAATAAATTTATAAACTATATAAAAAAAGACCACAATGAAATAAATAATGAATCGAAGTCTAAAACCTTGTTAAATTTAATATTCCAACTTTCCCCCATTAAATTTTAAAGAACAAATTAAAGCAGAATAGTTAAAAAATTACCTTTCTTGAACTAATAAATTTATAAACTAATTAATAAAACCCCAGAATGAATATAAAGGGTTAAACTCTTCGGTAGAAACTTATCTGCGAAGCGTTTTTTGTCGTATTTCCAGGTGTTTGCGGAAGCTTTGAAAGCTTCGGCTTCAGTTTGACATTAGAACTTCGACTTTGACGTTGTGCGGCGATCGAGCGAGAGCTATATGGTGTGGCTATAGCTATCGGAAATTACACTGCACTACACAAGACTCGGTTTCGGAACTGTAGTGATATACCCAGCCAGTTGTGGTTTCCGAGTCGCCGATTGATTTCGCTGAATATATATATAAATAGCGTCAAGTGTTTGTGCTTGTGTTGGTGTGTTTCGTTTTTCTTTTTTCGTTCTTGCACCCCCAACTCCCTCTTTGTGTGTGTGTTAACTTCGGGAAAAGCAGCGGGAAAACGTCAAGGAAAAACCGGCGAAAACTGACGCAATAGGCCAAAGTTGATGTGTTTGTTTACTACCACCGACCGACGACGACTACTGTTATTAACGAAAACGTTGGCAATTACGCGCAAACTTTGCCACTTGGATGCGAGTCTGAGATCATTATTCGATTTTTAGAATATTCAGCAGGCAGATAAGACAGGCCGACACAGGCAACACGGCGTATACGTTATATGTGGCCCACTGTGCACCGCCCCGCAGACAGTGGCGGCGGGGGTCTTCGGCGGCAACTGCACTTTTTAATTCAGTTGGCTCACGTTCGCGGCCTTTGATGCAACGGTTTTCGCCGATGCCGACGATTTGCGATTAATTGGGAATTAAATTGTAAGAACGTGACGTCAGTTCGGAGAGGGTTCGATGTACTTGTTGTTGCGGTTGCCTTTGGTGGGTGGCTTCATAAATTAATTTACTAAGCACATTGTTTGTGTTAACTCTGCGTGTGTGTGTTGTGTGTGTGTGTTGTGTAAAAGGCAAACAAACAATAAGTGGGGAGAGAGAGGAAAACAGACATGTGCCCAGCTCGTTATGGGAGAACAAAACGCTACGAATAAATATAAAGAACGAAAAAAAAAAGCAAAGCGTAAACATGACAGGCACCAAGACTCTCAAAAATCTATGCTAATTAGCAGCCATAACAATAACAACAAGGCAGCAAAGAGCACATATGTTTAACGTATATATACGTATATATATCTGTATCTTTGTATCTTTGTATCTTGCTCTCTGCTCGAATGTATCTTGCTCTTTGAGCGCATAAATGTATCTCGAGAAACAAGAAGGCCTAAGTGCAAAGCCAACAAACATACTCGAAATACTCTGAAAACTTAAGTCCAAGTGACAAATAGTGAATGCTGAGTGAATGGCAAGAGTGTGTGGCCAAAAAGCCAACATTGTTCAGGGGGATTGGGAAAGAAAATTGCTGGTCAACGAATTCTGAAAGTGGTGAAAGGAAAAGTTCAAGAGGCTAATCAAATCATAAGAAAGGAGAAATGTGGAATTGATTTATTAAATCAGGAATTCATTAATTACAATCACTTAAACTATTCAACAATAAATTAATGATCTAGGGGTTGTATGGTTATTGATTTGTAATTAAATTAGAAGCTGATTTCTATTAATTATATTAAATTAGAAGCTTGAAGTGAACTCTTTTTTATAATAATTTAAAGGGTATTAACAGTTGCAACTATTTAAGATCTCTTAGAACCAAAGTATAGTCTATTTAAGACTTTTAAATATTTATTTTTGCTCAGCAAACCGGAAGAAGAATGTATATTTTGCTTGATCTGGCTATAAATAAGTAAACAAAATTTTGTTTATATGTTTTTATTTTGGTATTTGCACAATCTTTTTAAAGAATTTTATAAAATCTAAATCAAAAACCTCTTAAAAATATTTTTAAAATAAAATTAAAACATTTAAGAATAAATGAGATCTATTTCTTACTACAAAGTCTTCTAAGAATAGTTGTCTGAACTCTTAATGAAAGACTTCTTTTGATCACTTTAGAGTTTACTTTGTAACACAAATTCCTTGGCATATTTAATTTCCCAAGAACCTACACTGCATTCGACAGTCTCGTTTTTTTTTTCGCAAAACGCCCCATATTTCTTTATCAGAAATGCAAAATGTATCACCGATAGCCCAGAAAAGATAACTGAAATGTGCGCGGTGTTCTACAGCAAATAAAGCGAAGAAATCGATTTCTGTTTGTTGATTTTATAAAGCAAGAAGCACGGAGAAATAGAAGCCACTCTACAGATAGCAGCTACTACGTCAGCAAGCAAAACGAGGCCCAAACGATCCGAACGGAAGCCGAAACCAATTGAGTGTGGGTTCCGTTGTGTTTTGAGGGGAAGTGACCGGTTTAGTAGTCGGCCTGTCCTCCTAATTGGGATCCCCCTGGGGCTATGCAGTCTGTCACACTGTGCAGAAACTGGCGATTGCATAATCCCCGGGCAAAGTAACCCAGTTTGGTGTGGGGCCAGACCAGACTGGCACCTCAGACACAGACCCTCGGGAATCACTATACTTCTTAATGGAGGCTGAGGATGATGAGGCTGGTGCTGCTGCTGGCCAGACAAGAGAAATTGAAAGCCATTAAGTACCTTTAAAAATAAAAGCGGCATACTACTAACCGCATGGCCCACTGGGATGATCCATACGCTCTATATATATACGTTTGCTGCTTCAATTATTCAAGAGTACGGAGCAGAGACTTGCGACCACAAAAATCAAAAGAAATTACGCACGAAAAATATCTTGAAAATGCCTAAGTTGTATATAGATACACAGCACAGACTCATCAGATACACACAGACACTCACACTCGACTCGAACTGTGGCAAACTATTTCCGTATTGAGTTCTCTTCCTCGATGCCCTGCATCAAAACTATTTGGGCATATTGCAAGCCAGATCTAGTTAAAATCAAATTATTCAGATATGAGATCATACGAATTAGAGATAAATAAAATTTAGTTCCCTTCACGAAAACATTTATCAAGTGAAACACAAGCCTTTTTCCAACTCAGAAATGTTTCTGTGACATTTTTCAAATGATATTTTCGGGCATTTAAACGAGCATCTATTCATTCTTTGGCTTAAATTCCGCAAACAAATTATGAACGTGTTCCAAAAACATTTTCTTATATTTATGGATGCGCCAAAGATACATATTTTCGAAGCGAGAATTTTCGTTTTCGTTTTGCTTTATTTCGTTTCTTTTTATTTGGATTTATGGGTTTGTTTGGCTTTTGGAAATTGCATTGACCTAGAAGTTATATGGTTGTTTCTTTCGGGGATCTCCAACTCTTGGGAATACCCTGCATTCTGTTTTGTACTCTCTCCTCTCTCTCTGTGTATTTTGAAAATGAGCATCATTATGAATTCCCGATTTGTTTTTTGTGTGTATATTTTCAAATACGTGCCTCTGTGCATCTGAATTTCTCGAGTGTGTGTGTGGTGTGCGAGTGTGGGCGATTGGGGAGCTGGCTCCCGGCTGAGATCGTGGAGGCCCATGGCCCATTCCTTGTCCGTCAGCCGCCAGCGCCACGAGGAGCGGGAAACGCGATCCGATTTTCTGTGCTTCTTTTCGTCGTGCGCCGAACGAGAGCGAAAGTTCACTAATTCAGTTTGTGGTTTTCTGGGGGAAACGCAATTTAATTTGGCCCAAAACGATTCAAAGGCAAAATCAGAGACAAAGGCGCGAAAACATAACGATTTCGGACGCGTGCCAGGCGACGGGCGGTGGGCAGAGAGATGTATCCAACACATATAATATGATTTTCCGCTCGCAGTGCTCTTTCCGTTTCTTTATTTCATTTATTTGTATTTTTTTTTTCTCTGCGGTTTTTGCCGGCTGTTGTCGTCGTCGTCGTCGTCGTAAGCTAAATGCCGGCGGCGGTTCTCCGCGACTCTCGGTTCTCCGTTCAGTTCTGCTTGAGTTTCTGGCGACGAGTGACACACACAGAGGGCACTGCCAATAAACGACAAACGAAAAACGAAACACATCTTAGTTCTACACAGATTCAAACCGACCAAAAGACACGAGACACGCACACAAATCTACACAAATCTACAAAAATCTACACAAATCTTGCACTGCAACTGCATTGGCTTTAAATCGAGGCACTGTGACATAGACGATGCCCAATAACCGCAATCGCAATCGCAATCGAAATCGCAACAAACGCAATCGAAATCAAAATCAAAACCAAAATCAAGCTCAAAATCCCAGCCAGGAGCAGTTGGAGGTAGGGGAGGAGGAGCAGCAGCAGGACTCTCACCCAGAGATAGCAGTTTCGTCCTCGACAGATAATGATAATGGAAATTCTGGCACCGTTTCAAATGGGCCAGCAGAAAGTCATAATAATAGCAGCCATGGTGAAGATGTGACGAACATTCTGGTGAAGAGCCAAGACAGCAAGGGAAACGGGGAAAGCGACGTAAACGAGGAAAATTTGGTGGAACCAGCCACACTCATCCAAGAAGAGGAAGATCTAGCCGTGGAAATGGGTGCCAAGAACTCAAAGCATCAGAAGGAGAAGTCCGCCAAGCGAGCGAATGATGGAAAGGTTGAAGAGCAGGTGCGACCAGGCCCCACAATAATAAGAAGGCCACCCGGCAGTCCACGTCAGGCCAAGGTCATAGTGCACCGGATAGTGAGGGAGGAGGACAAGGTAGATGGCAAGGCTGAGATCCAACAAGAGGTGGTTGCACCAAAAGAAGAGAAAGTGGAGGTCAAGGAGCAGCCACAAGAAGAGGCATTAACTGAGCAAGTTCCTCAGGAACCTCTAGAGATTAACCCTAGTCCAAAGGAAACTGAAGAAAATGAAGTATCTGCAAAGGAATTACCTAACAAGGAGCAACCAGAACCAAAGGAACCCGAGCAGTATGTCCTGCAACTGCAAAAAGCCATGGAATTTGTGGAAAATGCACATAAGCAGCATGTGGCTCTGGTGGAAGATCATCAGAAACCCGAAGAGAAACCAACTAAAGAAGACTCACAAGTCAAACTTGAAGTACAAGAGCAGCAGAAATCAGAGGATAAAGCACAAAATCTAAATGATAAAGCACAAAATCTTAAGGATCAGGAAGAAACCGAAACTCAAACAGAATTAAATTCTGCAAAGGAGAATTCAGAAAAACAACAACCAGAAGCCCCTCCACAAGTCATAGAAAAAATCCTGAAACAAGTCCAGTTTGAGGAGAATCAGCAAAGGATTATCCCAGAGCCAGAGGCTACTCCTTCTCCCCAGAAATCCCAGCACACCTCCAAGGTGATAATCCATCAGATCCGCCTCGAGACCGACGAGGAAGAGCGTAACCGCAAAGGTAAACCCACCATTGAGGAGATTAGCAGCACTCCTGGCTCTCTGCTGGGCACACTCTCCCCTCCGCCTCGCTACCTGGTAGAGTCACCCAAGAATGTGTCCAGTGGAGGGCAGTTCTCACGGTTTGCCCGCGACGTACAGATCCAGGAGCTGGAGCTAAACAGCGATTGCAGTTCCGGTGAGTTTAACTCGCTGCAGTCGCCGCTCGTTTGCGAAGTGGACTCCGAGTCGGAGGGTTCAATAGTTGGAGCTGGAGTCTTGGGGCCGGAGCGTTCCCCGTCGGATCCACAGCTGCCGTCCAGCAGCCGAGTGGAGCAGCAGGAGCAGCTGCGTCAGAAGCGCGCCCAGAAGAGGAACGCATTGGAGTCGCACTTTCTGCCGCAGCTGCTAAATCCTCGCTACCTGGACAGCATCCTGGAGGAGAATGGCGAGACGCAGTTCAGGAATTCCGCTGCTTCTTTAGCCTCCTCCTCTGGAGGAAGCGATCAGGCGGGGAATCGCACGCCCAAGCTCAACGAGACCTTTCCCAAGAGCCAGTTGGACTTTAGCCGCCGTCACAAGCGGCGTGAGGAGGCCCCAGTGCCACTCAAGCTGGAGACCAAGTTCCTTGAAGAGCCCAGCGACCTGGAGAGCTGCTCCCGCCTGCAGAGCACCTTGTCGCCGCAGTCCGAGGATGCCGAGCTGATTTACCTCAGCTCCTCGGCCTCGAGCAGCGTTTCCGATCTGATGGAACTCGAGCTGGAGCAGGCGGCGGCCCTGGCGGAACGGGCATTGGTCGACTTAGATACCGATGCCAGTCGGCTAATCCATCGACCGGATGACGAGATGAGCAGCACCAGCACCACGACGGCGGACAGGAGCGAGACGGAAGCGGAAACAGAGGCGGAGACGGAAACGGAGACCGAGAGAGAGGCGGCGGAGAGCCGCGAGAGCACACCTGTTAACACACTCGCCGCAACGCCCACGCCCACGGCCGTGCCAGCGGAGAGAGAGCAGCCGTTGGCAAGAGATACGGATACAAATGTATCTGGCGGATCGTCGGCCAGTTTCGGGGCAGCGTCTGCGCTGGCGGCCACGCGCGAGGAGTTCGTTCGCAACATGGATAAAGTGCGCGAGTTGATCGAGATGACGCGGCGCGAGCAGGAGCAAGGTGAAGATACGCCGCGATCGCCGTCCCCGCCGCCGGTTCCCCCGCCCCCCGCCGCTATACACCAATACACCGCTACACCCCTAGATAGCACCCACAGTACACAGTACACAACTAGTGCCACCTCCAGCCTCACGCCACTGCAGCTGCCGATGCAGCTGCCAAAGCAGCTGCGGCGGCAGGAGTCCAATGATTCGCACTGCTCCGACAGCACCACCCACAGCCAGTGCACGGCCATCAATCTGGCCAGTCCCCCGCTTCCCAGCACCCAGCCACCCACTCCTCCCATCCGGCAGAAGCCTGCACCCGCCACGCCCACGCCCACGCCCACGACCACGCCTATTCCCCAGCCAGAGCCCTCAGAGCTTTCCGTTGCAGATCAGGACACAGACGCCATCAAGAAGCTGCGTCTGCTGTGCACCGAGCAGCTGGCTTCTATGCCCTATGGCGAGCAAGTGCTGGAGGAGCTAGCCACCGTGGCCCAGAACATATCAGATCAGTCGGATCAGACCAGAATGCCCTACCCCATGCCCCAGCTGCCACACATCAAGGAGCTGCAGCTTTCACAGTCGGAGACCGGCAAGTCCTCCTCCGCCTGGCTGGGTCTGCCCACTCAATCGGATCCCCAGCTACTGGTATGCCTCTCGCCCGGCCAAAGGGAGCTGCTGGATGCCCAGACACAGCCGGATGACTTGCTGGATGCCCACCAAAAGTTCGTGGAGCGACGCGGCTACCATGAGCTGAGCAAGGCTCAAGTTCGGGAGGAGGAACAACTGCAGCAGCAGGAGCAGCAGCAGAGCGAGATGCTCAAGACGGCGGCCATGATGCGAGAGTTGCGCAAGAGCCTGTCGCCTTCGAATGTGGACGCTGCTCCGCCCCCGGTGCCCCCGCCGCCGGTGCCGGTGAAGAGCGCCGAAACGGCGGCCAAGGCGAACGCTAGTGCTCATCCAAACGCTAAAAGAGATGACGCAAGCGGGCCAAAACAGAAGATCGCAGCGGCGACTGGCGAATCGTCATCGCTTAAAAATAAACCAAGGCGAGCAGCTGATCCCATTGAACAGCATCAGCAGCAGCAGTCGGCAGAGCACCGCCAGAGCAGCAGCACCATCACCAAAACAGCCGAGACCATGACCAGTTCCACCAGTGCCACCTCATCCAGCAAGTTCCCCACGCTGGACAGCATGGAGAGCGAGCTGGCCAAGATGTTTCCGCAGCACAAGGCGCAGGATATCTTTGAGGAGCAGCGCAAGCGATTCTCCAACATCGAGCTACCAACCAGTCAGCGCGAGAATCAGACGAAGCGCTACTCGAACATCGAGACCAGCAGCTACGAGTCCAAGAAGCGACTGGAAAACGGCCAGGTGGTGTACGACGTGAGCAGCTCCAGTCACGAAAAGCAGCAGGAGGGCGATCCGCCCCAAGAGCAGCCGAACGCGCCACCCATCCCCCCGCCGCCCATTATGTCAGCGGCGAAATTAAACGGCGGCACCTTCATTGATGGAGATTGTAAAAATAGCCAGCCGCCGAAAGAGAATGGCGGTGGCAACGGTACGTATGAGGAATTTCGGCAGCGTGCCAAGGCCGCCGTGGATGCCATTGGAGGAGATCAGCAGCAGCAGAACGGCTTGGATCACGACCGCGTGTTCAAGGACTTCGACCGGCTCTCGCAGCAGATGCATGCCGAGCTCCAGACCACGCGAGAGCGGCGGGAGAAATCCGCCTCGCTCTACGATCTCAGTGGCTTGACCCGGTCCTCGTTGGGCCAGCAAAAGCTGGACGAGCTGCAGCAGCGCCGGCATGCCCACATGCAGGAGCTGGAGAAGGAGATTGAACGCTCGGCTAGGTCTCGGCAGGAGCGCCTTTCCTCGGTGCCCCGCCAGCTGGAGGCCACATCGCCGCACACCCGCGAGATACCCATCGAGCTGGAGCCCCGTTCCCGGCGCGCCGAGTCTCTGTGCAACCTGAACGAGCCACCGCCGCGTCCACACACCACAGTGGGTCACTACAGCCACCCGTCAGCGGCGCAGGACGACTGGTCGCAGTACGCCAGCGATCTGGGCTATTCGGAGAACATAGCCCGGCCTTTCGCCCGCGAGGTGGAGATCTGCTATCAGCGCCAGAACCAAAATCCCAATCAGAGAGCCGCGCATGGCATACGGGCACCGCGACTCTCCGCCAGCACCAATGACCTGAGCAGCTCCAGCCAGTACAGTTTCGATAGCTACAATGCCTACGGCGGCCGCAGGACCCATGCCCCCATGCTGAACCAGGCCCAGCAGCAGCAGCGTCCCCACTATGGCAGCTGCTACTCCATGATCGAGCGGGATCCCAATCCGCGGTACATCAGCACCACATCCAGGAGGGGAGTGAGTCCAGCGCCACCTCCGCCGCCGCTGCAACAACATCAGCAGGTGCCGCCGCCCGCCTACGATCGCCAGCAGAGAAGGGCCTCGCTGCCCAGGGAACTGCACGAGCAGCAGCTGAAGTATATACTGTCCAAGGAGGAAGAGCTCAAGCTGGAGGTGGAGCGACTGCAGCAGGAGCGTCGCCGCCTGATGGATGAAATGCAGCGGGCACCGGTGCTGCCGGCCCCACAAAGGAGGGAGAGCTACAGGCCTGCCGCCAAGCTGCCCACCCTCAGTGAGGATGAGGTCTTCCGCCAGCAGATGGCCGAGGAGTGGATGAACAAGGTGGCCGAGCGGGAGGAGAGGCGCCAGCACAAGATCATACGCATCTCCAAGATCGAGGACGAGCAGGATCACTCGGCCGTGGACAGGGCCACCATAAGCGATGAGTTTCTGGACCGCGTCAAGGAGCGGCGACACAAGCTGTCCATGCCGGCAGACAGTGACTGGGAAAGCGGGGCGGAATCCCAGCCCCAGCCGCACTCTCAGTCCCAGGCGGAGTCCGATGTGGAGGCGCCACCAGTGCGCATACTCGAGGGCCAGGCGGAGGCCAATCTTCGCCAGCTGCCGCGTCACCTGCGGGAATTTGCCAAGTTTTCCACAAGCGAGCAGCTGCCTGACGGAGGCCAGATGGAGCGCCACGAGGAGCAGGAGCGTCGAGAGGAGGCCACGGACAACTCGCACAGCAGTGCCAGCAAGAAGACGAGCATCGTCAAGACGTACAAGGTGTCGCGGCTGCCGCCTTCCGTCCAGGGTGAGTTTCCCGGCCAGCTTTCCGGGGGAAAGCGGGGCCGCTACTATCGGGAACGCTCGCAAACGGCACGGCTCGTGAGTCATAACATCCCTCTGGAACTAACCAGTAACAACAGCTCATCGCCCGACTCCGATTCCCATCCCGGTTGTGGTTCAAAAGGTTCCTCCAGCCCACTATCCTCAATCCCATCCTCGGCACAATCCCCTCCACCGCCTCCAAATGATCCATCCCCTGAACCATCATCCAGCACCACTGCTGGCAGCATCCTGGGCACCGCTTTGCTAGTGGGTTTGTCCCTGCTGACAGCCTGGAACAAGTTCAGCTAGATCGCAGTTCCTTTATCCTACTCCCAGATCCCTCATTAAGCCACATTTCGAACGGTAGTTTTTGAAATTGTTATAAAAAAAAAATACGTAATATACTATAACTAAGATGTTGCTCATTACATCCGATTCATGTACAAATTATTAGCAAAATCTTCTTTTGTTAAACATTTACTTGAAAATTGTGTTTCGTTCTACCATTAGATACTTCTGGAGTTTTGAAATCACTTTAATAAGGTGTCTAGGAGTATGCTATATTTTATTTTGTACAGGAAATTTAAATCTTTGGGTGATTTTCTAATCTCTTGTGATTTGAAATCTCTTAAATGTGCCTTATGCCATGCTTTCTGCAATTATAATTTTTACAGCATACTTTTTCACACCTTTTCGACAGGTTTCAAATCTCCTTCAATTTCTTTGCCCTTCATTGGTGATTGGCCATCTTCCTCACACACAAGCACACTCCCATCCATACAGTCGCCTCTTGGTGTTGTCCTATCTCTCTCTCTCTCTCTTTTGTAAATCTCTATCTCTCTCTCTCTTCCGATTGTTCATTGCTCGCGAAATCCTATTGCTCCCTTCACACAGACGAGGCCACAGAAACCGGCTCCAGGAGCAGCACAGTCCCCGGGACAGAAACAGATCAATCCGCCGGCTTCCAAGCGGGAAAGATCGGTGGAGATCTGAACGAGTTCTTCGCCGGCTCGCCCTTCCGGTCGAAAATCTTCGAAGAGTTCGACAAGTACTGGCGTAACTTCGGGCACTCCGCACCCAACACTTTCTAGGCAGAACCCTTGAGTCTCCGCCAGCTGAACCACAAACCGAATGCTTTAAATGCTTTCCCCTAAACCCTGACCCCAGTCCCTCCCGGCAGCTGCATGCCGCATATACCCACCACGCCCCCAAAGTCAGCTCATGATATATATTTATATATATATAAACTATGTATGAAAGTTGAAGATTTTGTCCAAAATTTTGTTTGTGAAACCTTGTTAAATGTTCCAAAAAATATTAATGATAATATCTTAATAGCAATAGCCATAATAAAATGAAAACGAGAATTATATTTAGTGTTGTTTAATGTTTAATAAACGAAATTATTTGATTAACCAAAAGTTGTTTACTTGTTTTTTGAATATTTACGTTAATGCATTCCTGTATATACTATGCATGCTATTTTCCACTATAGTTGTGTGATTTGTCCCGAGAGAGAGACTACGATGTGCTTGAAAACTAATCCATAATTATGTGTAAAAGATAATACAAGAAGATTCTGGGAAAGCTGTCAGACAGGAATACATTTTTAACTGTTGAAGAGAACTATACAATTTATTAATAAAGTAATTTCAAACTGTCTGATGGCTTGCCAACGCTTTGTATTTAAGTAATTGCTTAATCCTAGGCTTAAGTTAATTTAAGACATCATTTGGCTTTGTAATTCGCTAGCTTCTGCTTGAGTCCATGGAGGCTCTGAGTGCTCAAATGCCCCCTAGGGGCCTGGCAATCGGCTTAACCCATCCGCGGCATCGCAATTCGAATCCAAATCCCCCCGAAACCCCAAACCCTTCGGCTTATTGCAATCAAAAGCTAAGAAACGAGAACGAAAAGTAAGAATAAGACAAGAGACTGACCGACCGAGCGAAAGCGAAATTGCGATTATGCGGAAATTTTAAATTAATTCCATTCAATTGCATGGACACAGAGTGCAGGCCGACAGACGATTCGTTTGTTTAAAATGAGAATTACGGAATCGGGGGCAATTGAGCTAGAGCGGCAACACAGAGAGAAAAATATAAAACCAAACCTCTAAATTCTAATAATAAATTTTTAAAAATAAAAAGACTTCTTTGACATTAGATTGGCTCTACTTCTTAGTAATTTCTACTATATATTGATTCCTAAATAATTTTATTAGCTTTTTTTCTCTGTGTAACTTCCAACTATGCATGCAGACAGTAGTGTAGGAGTGAGGCAGCAAACAGAGACGATGCCTAAGATCTAACCGAATGCTATCGTTCAGACAGAGCCACCGCATCCGAGGCAGACGCATCTCCTCCAGAGTCCAGGGGAACGGGAACGGGAACGGGAATGGGTGGAATGGGTGTCCGGCTGCGACCACGCCCGCCCAAGCAGACGCGCTTCCTGCTCAACGCCCAGCAGCTGCAGCAGCAGCGCCAAAGACGCAGCTGGTCCGAGAGCGATCTGCTCAAGGAGATCGACAGCGAACTGCAGCTGGCCAAGGGCTTCCTCTACGCGAATGGTGTGTGTCAGAGATAACCCCTTACACTCCTCTCTCCCACTTAACCCCTCTCGATGTGTGCTTGTAATTATGTTAAGTTTATTTTTAACCCTCTGCCATTTTTATACATGTTGAATTTCGCACACCTGCCTAAAAGTAGGCAGCGAAAATCGAACTTGTTGTTTCAGCCTAATATTGCGTATACGACGTGAGGGCTTCGCGGTCACTTGCCACAATCGGAGTCTACAAATACACACATCTGTTTCTCTATCCGTATCTGTATCTGTATCTGCAGTGGGTCCATAATTTACGACCCACTTGAGTCGAAAGATCTCTTTCTCTCTCTCTTCTTGGCTCTTTCTCAGCTTCCTCTCCTCCTGGGTCTCTGTTTACGAAAGCATAAAAAAAAGACTGTTGTTTATACTAGGCTAAGAAACTGGGGGAAGGAATATACATACATATGTATATATATATGAATTTTTGGATTTTTCATCGGAGAACGAGAACAGCGAGACGTTCAACAAATTTGTTGCTCGCCTCACACAAATTGAGATTTTTCTTTCGGCTGGGTTCTTCTCGCTTTTTTTTGGGGGCCTCCGAAATACGTTTTCGAGACGAAAGTCCAAGCAACCTGACCGAAAATTCAAACCGTTTCGTAGTCGTCGTCGTGTTAAAGTCGTGTGAGCAACGCGAAGGCGCGTCAGCAGGCGAGAAATAAATAGAATAGCAAAAAGATATAGAACAGCCCGAAGTCGGAAGCCACAAAAAATTGGAAAACAGACAGTAGAGCGAAGTAGTCTCCATCTATATTCTTTCACCAGCTAAAATGGGGCAGGGTTAGTTGAGTGTTTTGTATTTTGTATTCCTCGAATTTGATTGTGTTCTCGCCCAGTGAAAGATACGAGATACGCGCGCGTATCCCACAGATGCACCCCGAGTGCAGTGAAGTGAAGTGCAAATTAAGTGACGAATATAGTCCATATCTGATTCTCAAAATCTTGTCCCGTGCCATTTTTTGCAGAGCACACACCAGGCACGGCCACCGCCGCAATGTTTGCGCCGAAATTCAAGGCGCGCGCGCCGCCAGGCTCAGGTAAATTGTGCGAGTATCTGGCGGATGCACGGATGCAGCCGCCGCCGCCCACGACAAGTGTGACAAATGGCAAAACATGACGTTTTCAGCGGGCCGTCTTTTGATGATTCGCCGAGTGTCAGCGGCGCAGGTTGAGTGGATCTTTCGACAGAGTCAACTTTCCACCTTTCCGCTGACTTATTCATTTCCAAATTTATGGGCCGTATTTATAGATCGTTTTTTTTTTTTGCGTTAGCCAACTGAACTTGATTTGGCCTTTGGCGTTTTGTTTATTTTAAATATTTCACATTAGTTCGCACGCTAATTGTGCACAGACACACCAAAATTTCCACATGATTTAGGCAAGCATCATTTCGGAAAATCCAAAATCCAAGCTGGAGAACGAGGTGCGCCATGGCTAAATATACAAAATGACGTAAAGTCCTAGCGGAGAGTATGGAATATTTATTACAATATTTGCAATGTTCTCAATTGTTGTGTTCGCTGGCCCGTTCGTGTTAGACGCCCACGCGGCCATGCCGCCTTTTACAGTCTCCAATAAAAATGCCAGCTAAATAGAATCAACACGGAGAGGTTCCCTCGGCCATGTCGCCATCGCCATACATTTGATGTTGTTCTGGCCGAGATTTTCCATTCACCAGAAGCCAAGATCGCCGTAAAACCCCTTTGAGGACTGATGGGGGCGTACGCAAATCCATCAAAACTTTCATTCCCTGATTGCCGTCATCTGATGGCATTATCTTTGGCTTTTGGGAAATTTCAATCTCTCCTACACATTTATTTAAAGCATTAATTTGTATGTTGTTATTTTTAACATTTTCCCCACCCCCACCCACCACCTTCTACTTTTTTTCGTTTTCTTTTTTTCTTCGTCGGTTTTTTTTGCCTATGCCAAAGAATGGAAAATATAAATTTCAAGACTTTTAGTGAGTGAAAATAATTTATAGTTTGGTATAAATTCAGTTGAACTTGAACGAATCGCCTGCTGGCCATTGGGATAGCGATTTAATTTAGCTTGATGACGTTGCCATCGGTGGGATTATCAATCTGTTGAAAAGAGATCTTAATAATAGGAATTGGAAAAGAATTTTGCGATGAGTAGATGAAGAATGAAAGATGTTTGAATTTACTAATTGTGTACAAATAGCTGGAATATTCAATAAGGTTTTTGTTGTTATTTTTCAAGGAAATACTTAAACTTTATATTTATATTTAAGGTTAAAGAAATATGTAAAGCAATCTACCTAATCCTTTAATGATGTCAAATATATCATTTGAGGCTTAATTATTAAAACCATTTCACCATAGAGGATTTTAAAACTATAAAATTATTAATAAAAACAGCTAAAGGACAATATAAAAATAAATATTCTACACAGGTACTGATAGAATTCTGTTTTCTTTTTCAATTTATGACCAAAACACAAAAAATTACCTGAAATGATGATCTCTTTCATTAATCCCATTGGCTTCCAACTGGAGCACTTCCAATCAATTCTGGCTGAACCGCAAATATGCACTCCATAAATAATTCCAAACGGAGGAGTTCCCTCTTTTTCCCTCCCCCACCTCACACTCCCTTTAAATTCCACATAAATCAACTCAGGAAATGCTCTTAATTTGCCAGAGCCACGGCCGCACCCATTTCCCTGACAGGTCGCACTCCGTCTCGGAACTCCGGGTCCCAACTCCCGTTGTTCCATCGGTGACAGGTTGCATCGATCCCCCAACCATGGCACTCCTCCAGAACTATTTTCCCCCACACACACACATTGTGTGTGAATTTTACAAGGCCACAGAGAGTAGTAGTATATGGGTTCCGGTATTGGAAAAACATTTTACAAAAACTGTGTCCAGAGTTAAAATTAAAAAGTTCCCTCATTGCAGGGACACAGAGAGAAAATTTGGAGGAATAAATGAAAATAAATATAAAAATTAACTATAAATAAAATTTATTTGATATATAAACTTAACAAATTACATTTTAGGGAGATGTCTTGGTTTATTTAGTTTAGTTTAGCTTTTAAAAACTTCTATTAGTTATGTTCCTCTTGAAATTAAATTTTTTAAACCCTCATTTTATAGTTCTAAATTATTTATATTTTATTTCTGTGTGCTCACCTCTCCCCTAGTTGTTTTTTTGAATTTTTTTTCTTATTCGCAAATCGATAAAATTTGAAATGAATTGCCTCGAACAACGAAAGTCAGCGAAATGCGACTTCTGCTCGACTGCGGGCGCTCCTTGCGGGTGTGTCTCGCCAGTTCGCTCTCAAGTGCCACTATTAACATTTTTCCAAGCGAATTCGGATACGGATTTTCGAATTTTCCATTTGATTTGTTCTAAAGTAGAGAGCAATATGTAGTATGTGTAGTGTGCAGTAGTGGCCACCGGAAGTGCCAAGCCAAGTCAAGCCAAACCAATCGAATTTTGTGCTTTTGTGTGTTGGCTTTTGCTTTTTGTTTTGGGGTTTCTGCTTTTTGTTTGTCTGGCTTTGCCGAAGAGTTGGCTTGCTTTTTGTTGTGACTTTCGGGTGACTTTAGTAGCTCTGGCTCTTTAAATAGGTTCACTGTACTCCGCCGCACACATTTCCGTTCCATTTCGCATTGCACGCATAATTGGCGTTGCCCCCTCGAGTTTGCCCCTGTCTTCGGTTGATCGAGCACCGAGCTAGCTCCGAGCGAGAATTGTAATTGATCTTCTATTTGGGGACTGGGACTGTGTGGCAGAGGAGCAGCCAACAACAACAGCTAAATGGGTGTGTTTGGCCTTTTGTCTTGTCCCAGCCCCGTGCCCACTTCCACTTCCACATTCCCATTCCGAATCTGAATCCGCGTCCGAATCCATCCCCATTCCCGGGCTCTTAGCTCTGCTCGACGCTGGCGAGTCACGCAAAATTCAGTTCGCCTCGAGCCGTGCGCGGAGTCAGCAACTCAATCAGAGAAACGCTCTCGAAATCCGTAACTGAATCCCGTATCCGTGTATCCCATATCCGTATCTGCATCAGCGGTATATCTCTGCTGTCTTAGGTAAAGCCATCAGATAGTGTCGGTGTGACTCAGTGCGGATTTGATTGACATTTGCAAGGAGAAATTTCCTTTTGATTCGATTGTATAATTCAATTAAGTGCTGATTGAATAAAGACGTCAGCGAACGACGCCCACACCAGAGAACACCAGCAGCATCACCTACACTACCCACTACCGTTTTGTCCCCTCACCTCTAACAGCTGCCCCTTCTCCACTGCCATCATCAGTGAAAATCTAAAGAAATCCGCTAACAAAAACCATCGAAATACGTGTCAATGTCTCGAAGGCAGTGCGCCTAGGGCATCGCTAGCTGTATCTGTATCTGTATCTGTACATCTGCAGCTGTATCTGTATCTGTATCTCTGGCAGCGTCTGCGGCCAGTATATCTGTGACCGAGTGTTTTGTTTTTGTGGCTTTCGTTTTTTTACAGGTGGCAAATAAATCTGTAGAATGAAAGATTTTGGCTAGACCCAATGCAAACTTGCATAGACATCTCGCACGGGTTATTTAACAACTAGCGAAATTATGCTGCCACAATTGAAGACAATTTATTCTGATTAATCAGAGATATATCAAGATTTCAAGTGGGTAACTGCTGATAAAATGGTTAGATAAGTTGTCAGTCTTGGGAACTATGCAAAACGGTTATAAATTGCATATAAATTGAGCTGAAATTTAAACCAATTTAAGGTGATTTCTATCAAGTACATTTCATTTAAAATATTTAGATTTTAAGGAACCTTTTATATAGAAAGTCGATTATAGTTATCCAGAATTCAATACAAGGACCTTTATTAAAGGCATTTTTAATGTCTTAATTATATATTCTCCCTTTTCCTCAAACGTATAGGAAAAATATCCCAGAGATCCTTTATTTATATAGGGTTTAAGGTTAATTTTTTGATATTTTTATAATCACAAAACCCAGCAGCACCTTTGATCAACCTTTTAGACACACCTCGCTGGGTTCTTTAACGGTTCGGGAATATAAATTTATACCATCTCTCTGTGTGTGTTTGTATTTTTGTGAATGCTAAACATGCGCCAAATGGGATGACTCATCCCCAGCGCCTTACACTCCCAATCGGTTTGTGTTTGTGTGTGCGTTGTGTGTTGGCCAAATTTTGAATGGCTGCCAAATGGCGGCTTCCTCGGTCGCCGTCGTATTAATTATTGCTGTTCTACGTCGCTATGTTTGTTTGTCAATTTGTCTTCGCATTCGGTTTGTTGACTGCCCAAGAAGCTTTTTTTAGAGGGAACCTGTGGTTTTTAAGTGCCCAGCGAGCATGAATTTGTTGACAAGTGTAAATGTCGTCAGGAGGGGGAGAAACTCAATCTCTGAACTCGCCGGCGCCCCTGAAAATGTCATCTGTCTGCCATACAGATCCCCACTGTCGCCCACACATTATCCGCTCACCCTCAGCTAACTCTGCCCCCTCTCGACAGGCGTGTGGACACCTTATGGTTCCAGCGGCGATCTAAATCAATCATCTGCCCCCTCGGCCACACCTCCGCCCCCGCCGCCACCCGCTCAGCCCGTGTGGACGCCGCAGCCGTCGCCGGCGCTCAGTGGCCGCAAGGAGTTCCGTCCCGTCCGCTTTGAGTCGCCCACTCTGCCGCGTCGCTACACGGCCCTGCAGCACCAGCAGGAGCAGAACCAACCATCGACGACGACAACGACCCCGCCGTGGTCGTACACCAACGGAGAAGGTGCTCCACCCACAGGTCTACGTCCTGGTGCAGCCTCGCTGAACTCGGTGAACTCCAACTCGGACTACGCCGAAACCGACTGTTCTGGTTACTTTGCTCCCGTGGCGCCCAGTGCCAGTGTCTCCGACAAGATCAGAAGTACTATATCCTATATCTCTCGATGATCGTTTCTTTATAGTCTAAGGTATAAACCTTACTCAAAGTTTATACAATATTTATATCTTCCTTTGAGTTTGGGTTATCCTTTCCTTTGAGTTTCCAACTATATCTTGTTCCCTCCTCCTTCTTCGACCTTCTGGTTTCGTTTTCTCTGTTGGATATATTGTCGCTCGATTCCGCTAATGCTCCACTATCGTTTATCGCCCCTAACATAAAAAGAGATCGAGAGATCGGCCTCCAACTCGGAGCTGCAGAGGCCCTTTGTGCGCCGCCAAGTGTCCGACGCCAGTCGCCCAGCCTACAGGCCCAATGAAGTCAGTAAGTATAGCCGTTCCTTGGCAAGTGACCCGGTGAAGCGAGCTCACGATCGTCGATGCAACACACTGAATGTGGCTGTGATGTCTGTGCCCTCCGTTTAACCCACACAAAAAACCAAAAACAAATACCAAACCCAAACTGAACCCAAACAAATACCCCAAACGAGACCAAACACTAACCAAAACTCCATCTGCGGTTTCCAGTCTACAAAGTCAAGCACGAGTATATGAGCGAGCCGGAGACGGGCAACGATCGTCCCCGAAAAATGGCACAATTAGGGCGAAGGCAGTACGATGGCATCGGTCCGGTGACCAACGATGGAATGCCCATAATCCTCAGATCGGTAAAAGAAATGGGACAAAAGGGGTGATGATTCGAGTGGTTTGATCTGATACGAGTATCTTCCTTATCCTTATACACATGCAGGAGGTCCAGGAGCCGCATCAGCATGAGTGGTACAAGCGTCTGTATCAGACGATTCACAAGCAGAAGAACGGCGGTAAATTTTCCACACACTTTTCCCTCGGTCTGAAGCATTACGAGCTCCTTGAAATTCCTATATCCATACCCATTCCCATTTCCATACCCAAGTCCTCTGATTTATCCCATACCCTATTCCTTAAATGCTTCATTCTGAACTCTGGAATCCCCTTAAAAACACTCGTTTCTCATTCTCCCATTCGCTTTCGCCTCAAGATGATTTCGTGATTCGCTACAAGTGTCCCAGAGGTGATTTTTTGATCTATAAACTACGCTATCCCCTAGTAGTCTCTCCCATCTAATTGCCCGCTTTCGCCTGTACATATAGTAGACTGAGTCCTGTATCCTCTTGCAGACAGTAGAGTGACTCAGTGGGTTCTATTATTATTATTTGGTTTACCTGCATGCCGTATTATTTGGTTTATCTACATTTGATTTCTCTCATGTTCCCGTGTCTAGCTCATTGACAATTTCGGAAGCTTCTACTAAATTTCAAGACTAACCTACTATAAGGCCTAACTCACAACCACAAAAAACAGCGCTAACATCATGTCCGCCAGTACACCACCGAGACAAAGTAATGTTTATGATTTGTAGAGCTTGAGAAACCGCTTTCTGCTCCTTAATCCCTAAGATATAGTCCCGACTAATCAGAGCTTCGGTATCCAAACAGCCCGTCCCTCGTACAAGAGCAACGGATACGTCTCCGAGCCCGAGCCCAACTACGACTCCGACTACTCCACCGTGAGGTACCGCACCCAGAATCCGCACCGTGTGCAGTCCGTGTCCTCGGCTGTCAATGTGCGCAACCTCAACCAGGACGAGAAGTGAGTTTATTAAAAACTTTTAAAGGGAATTGATTGAGTAAACATCTCTCCCCACTTCAGGTTGTATGGTACTATGCCAAATCCCATAAAGTCAGCGCAGAACTCGTATAAGAATCAGCCAGGCCGCATTGAGAACTACACAACAGGACATTCGTCGGTTTCCGAGAAGGAAAAGAAGGAGGTAAGTGAGGCTAACTCTCGAAAGTTGATCACTCGCACAGACTTATCACCATTGAAAGATGCTTCTCATATCCTGGAAGACTTCAAGTCACCATCATCTTGCTAAGGAACCTCCTTTACTGGCTTAATGCACCGACCCCTACTTGCTCTATGTCCCTGCACCTTCATAATAAAACCCCTCGCTACCCGAAACGGGCTCATGATCATGCACCCTTCACACTCACCATTCACATGCTCAGTCATTCAGTTCGCCTCGAATATTCTAACTCACAGCAATTATTCTATTCACAATTCTAGTGGTGGGACGAAGTGATGGACATCTTTAACGGGGTATGATCTCTACTTTATAATACTAGCTTTAGTCTTAGTTTATTTACCTTCCGATTGATTTAAACTCGAGCTAGTCGAGACCGTTTTTCCGTGAACTAAACCGAACCCAAATATCTATCTTTGCTTACCGTTGTATCCTTTCTTGCCTACCGTAATGCCTGATCCATATCCTACGCAAAAGTGGCTTAGGGAGCATACACGCATCCCGCGTATAATTATAGAGTTCGTTGATGATTTCGACGGCAACGGAGTAAGTTTTCCTGGACAGATCAAAAGCGAGGCAGGAATCATTGCAAAAGGCACCAGAACTACTAATTGAAGCCACTCAATCAAAAGTACCTCTGATTCTATTTAAAAACTAATTCAAGTATTTTCCCTTGCCTTCTCTAGAATCTAGAACAATCGAAACTCTCGCCATTGTACACCGAAGGTAACTTGTCCAGGTAAGCAACATTTCATTCTTAGCCTAGCAACTTTCTGATTGTGTAATCCTTTAGAGCTCTGGCCAAGGAATCTGGTTACACAAGCGACTCGAACCTGGTCTTCCGCAAGAAGGAGCTACCCGTGAGCAGTCCCCTGAGTCCCGTGGAACAGAGGCAGGCCTACAAGAGTCTCCAGGCAGGCGGAGAACCTCCACTGCTCGGCTTCCGCAAGCCAGCGCCCGAGAAGCCCCGTGGTAAGTCCTTCCACCTTTTTTTTTTCGGGAAAGTTGTTACCTTCTAATACCTAACTTAGACATAAGTCGCTGGGCTACTCTCTACTCTACTCTACTCACTAATCCTGCAAACGGTGTTGGTTCCAAGGTTTATCTATCCGTCTATCGTACACTGAAAACTTTGTAAGCTCTTTGTAAGCCACCAGTTGCCCTGGTTTCTCATTCACCCACTCTCACTGCTCTCACCTGAAGTTGTATTAGTCCGCCCACCACCAGGATGTGGGCGCCACCAAACAAGCACCACCGTTAATGGCACACAGGCACCACTCAAACCCAGCAGAAGCGGCTGCCTAATCTCGAAAACTGATTTCTCGCCTTCCCCAAGAAACTGTGGAGGAGTTCGAATTCATACAGATCACTCCCACGCTCACAAAGATACGTGTGAGCACCAAGGGTCTGGAAGAGGAGGAACCCTTGAAAAAACCACCAATACCATCAATCCCACCGCCTCCACCGCCGCCACCGCCTCCGCCGCCACCACAAATCTTGCCGCAGCGAAGGGAGAAAAAGCCTGTGAAGATGTTCTCGCAGCTTTCGAAGACCCTGCCCTCGTTCATTCCCCTGAGCAAGAAGCAGCAGACTTCCCAACAGGACGAACCACCGCCAAGACCGCCGCATCGTAAGTCCAGCTGCACCAAAAGCACGGTGCGTGTCCTGAGCTCGGCCTCCAAGTCCAGGCATGAGCAGTGCTTCCAGCCGCCGAATGGAAATGCCTCGGGCGTGTCCACTATTACGCTGAGGAAGGTGGCCACCTCGAGTTGCTCGCGTCGCGAACCGATTTGCCGCTCCAAGTCAGCGGGAGCAGTGTCCACTCTCCTGCAGACCCTTACGGCCACCAAGGAGACCCGACTTACCCGCCGGGTTCAGCAGCAGCAGCAGCAACAGCAGTCTCGCTTGAGATCCTCCAGTCCAGGCAGGCGTCCTGCTCGCCTCTTGGCTCTGCGTCACTCCAGCCGGAGTCCGGTGGCCTTTGGCCGGAGTATCTCCAAGGAGCGGAGTTTCGCCGAAGAGAAGAAGCGGCTGGAGAACACTTTGCCGGCCAATAGAACCAACTTTGAGGCCAGCACCAATATCTTGCGGGATCCATCTTTGAAATCCCCTCAAGAAGTGAGGGAGGCAGTCCGTTCGTATGCCACTTCCCGTAGCAAGTCCTTGCCCAGACTTCGGCACACCACTGTGAGCACCACCACGCGCCAGACCATGTGCTTCCCCCAAGTGCGTCCCCAGACGCTCCTGGATTGTGGAACTCGCTCTCTAAGGAAATCATCCTCCAAGGGAGGAAAGGGTCAGGCAAAGACGGGCTCCAATGACAGCCTGCCGAGGAGTAACTCCACCTTTTCCATTGATTCCCTAGTGCGTACGGAGTATGTGCCCATAGCACCACCCAAAACATATGTGGGCAAGTCCAGAGGTTCGGCTTCCAAGGCCCTGGTTCCCCTCCAGAACAGCCGTAGCGAGGGTCACGTTCCAAGGAAGCGTCAGTCTGGAAAGGCAGCTAAGGTCCCACCGCCGGTGACCGTTCACTCCTACAGCGAGTCGGTGCGCGAGAAGACAAACTTCTGGAACGACTACAATGCCAAGCAGGCCATGTCGTTGCCGCAGGAGTACAAGTTCGTGTCGGAGGATGTCTGCGACTTTTCGAGTCAAATCCAGATACAGCAGCCCTGCATCGAGGACCTGGTGTGGAAGTACGAGGGCAAGGATCAGCGTCCTCCCACAAAGCCAGCGGCAGTCACCGATATAGCCCGTCCGCTATCGCCGCAGCTGAGCCAGGAACGTCGCTTCTCGCCTACCCGGGAGGTGCGTGTCCCGCAAATAAACCGGGAGGTAAGATCACCCTCACGTCGTCGCATCGACAGTCTACGCTCCAAGGACAAGGAGCAGGCGGTGGCCAGGGCCAGCAGCCTAAGCAGCGCCGACGAGCGCGGCAGGAGGGCCACTCCAGCTCCCGCCAATGGTCTATACCAGTGCGGGGAGCTGGCCCACAGCGCCACCTCTTTGACCCACCTGGAGCGACACAGCCCCAGCTGTCGGTATCGCAACAACTGCGAGCGCTTCACCGAACTGAATCGATTCTACAGCACCCTGGAGCGGGTGGGGCAGCTGGAGAGAGCCACCTCCTCGAGCAGCTTCCATCCTCTACGGAAAGATGCCGAGCTGCTGGACTTTGATGAGTGGCGCAAGGTGCGACTCCATGAGCGGGCCGAAAAGGAGCTGCAGTATTTGGTGGGCAAGCTGCAGGACGACCAGAAGCAAAGGGATCTCCACTACCGCTCCAAGGACGTGGACTCTCTTAAGTGGCGCCATGAGGCGGACCAATCGCTAATTGCCAAGAAGAAGTCCGTGGAGGATCTGCGCGAGAACTTTGAGCAGCTAAATCTCCTGCGGCAGCAGCAGCAGCTGCAATCGGAGCCAGTGCATCGTCACTGGCGGCGCAACACGGTGGCGGATCTGGCCAGCAGCCTGGAGCATCGCGTTGAGGTCGAGGCCGAGCTCGAGCCAGAGCGCCATTTGGACAACGACCTAGTGAGCACCTTGTCCAAGGATCAGATCAAGAAGATCACTCAGCAGCTGAACGAGATTTACTCGGGCAATCGCCAGGCTCCAGCCGTGGAGGAGCAGTACGTGGTTACCGTGGAGAAGGGCTCCCGGCCAAACGGCTTAAAAGTGCGCTGCAACTCGAGCATCTCAAAGGAGCAGCTCCTCGGACCTGTGCAGCGCAAGCGGGACGAGCAGCAGTCCAACCAGACCCTGCCCCGCGCCACTCGCAGCCAATCTCCGGTGGTGGTGGCCAGGGAAACACGCGGCGCCATAGCAGCCAAGAACGCGGAGTTGACGCTCTCAAAGCCGCCGGAAGTGCCGCCCCGGCCCAAAGGCCCGTCCAACCAAGAGGCCAAGAGTAAGACTCTTAACAAGGAACCTCCCAAGGAACCAAAGGAGGATGCCCGCGAACCGGCCGAGAACATAAACCAGAAGATTCAGTACTTCGAGGATCGCCAGTTTGATGAGCCACCCAAGACCATCTACCATGCACGGGAGGACTCCTCGCCCGACGAAGCCGAGGTGATGCGCCTCATCGAGCAGAACATGCAGGAGCGCCAGCGAGCCCGGCAGCTGCATCAGCATCAGCACCACCACCACCAGGAGCTGAGCAACTCCCTCACGGATCTGAGCGGTGTCTTCGGAGAGCGTCCCGCGGCCAGGGTAAATTTTCACTTGCACAGCCCGCCCGACCGTCCGCCCGACGATACCGAGCTTATCAGCTTTGGGAACGGGTCACCGGAACCCGCCGATGCCAGTCTTGAGCTCTACTCGGACTCCTACTACCGCTCGCGCAGCCTGTCGCCGCAGTCGCAGGCCTCCGCCTGCTCCAGCTCCTACCTGCAGAGGGTCTACACCGGCGAGGTGCGCAAGATGCGGCAGCACTTTGAGAGCATCCAGCAGTCCGGGGAGCAGTCCCGGGAGCAATCCAACGAGCGGCGTGATTTTTTTGGGCTTAGCTCGCTGCGGAGGGCGCGCAGCGATCCCGAAGTGAGTGCGGGATCCAAAGACGCCCCGGACACTGCTACGGAGGCGGTGTCAAAGGAGGAACAACAGGCCGCTGCCGGCGTCGGCGATGTCCCGCGTCTGACTCACAAGTTTGAGTTGCGCGGGGCTACGCCTTCGCCGGAGCGCGGCAGAAGGCGCCAGCGGAGCGCCCAGGATCGCCTGATGCCCCACATAGACATCATTAGCAAGACGGCGGCCCTGAAGCGGGAGCTGCCAGTGCGAGCAAGTCCCACGCGGAGCGTGAGCAGCAACAGTCACTGCTTCGAGCGCCTGAGGATGCGCTACGAGTCCTCGGAGCCGCCGACTCAGAGCTACCTGTCCACCTCGCATCCGGACATGCGGGATGTGCATGACATATCGCCGCATCTAAGTGCCGACTGGGTGGCCCACAAGCATCCGCAGCCCTCGAAACCAGAGGAAGTGCTGCCCAGGAAGCCGCAGCGAGTGGTGGCTAGGGCCAGCTCCACATCACCACCGCGTCCGGCCAGATCGCAGAGTCATCAGCTGGGCTCCCGGCTGACCAGCTGCATGAGGGATATCTTTGCCAACCAGAAGTTTGATCCCAACAAGCATCGTCCAAAGGCGCGCTATGTGCCCGAGGGAGCGGAGACTGTAAAGAAGGCTCCTCCTCCTCCTCCTGGCAATGGAACCCTGGAACGCCTGAAGAAGACCATGGCGGTGACTTTTAAAGGTGACTTTTGACTATTGCAACTTCTAGGGAGCAGTGTGGGTGGGTGGGTAAGGATCCTAGGGCAACCCCTCTAATCTATGCTTCGTTGGTCGCCTGATCCCGTAGTGCTAGTGCTGCTGCTTTTGGTTACTCCTTCCCCCAAATTGGTCCTTAAACTGATTTCCAAATTATCCCTTTACTCGTATCTTATCTGTAAATCCTTGGCGCAGATCTCGACCCGAACGCGCCTCCCATTCCCCCCCAGCCGCCAGTCAAGGGGCTCTCCGCCTACGATTACACATACAACTCCGACACCGTCGACGGATCAGGTGAGTGACCAAGATGAAGACTTGCTAAAGCGAGCTGTTTACCTCAAGGGAGATGATGCTAATGATATCTCCTTAACATAAGCCTTAACGATAACTTGATAATATCCCCGAGTGCTAAGAGAGATTCTTCCGTCTTTAAAAAGTTAAAAAGATATCCAATTTCTTGTTAAATTATCCTCTCATCCTGCCCCCTTCCGGGTGCCACAACTACGCTCCTGCTGCCACTGTCATTCGTTAACCTTTGCTAAAAGCATTTTTACTGCGGCAACGACGGGTAATTTCCGCAATTGGTGCAATTTCGCTTTGAAGGTGCGCCTTGCGCCTCGGTTGACCAAATTAATCGATATCACCAATGAAAACGCCGGCCACGCGGACGGCTCTGACCTGCTTAGCTCACCAGCCGCCACCACCTGTCCTCCTCCTTTGCGAGGGGGTGGCGCTGCCTGCTGCTGGTGGGGTGGCTACTCGCTCACCTTGCCGGCGTTCAGTGGTGGCGGCGTTGCCATGGCCAAGACGATGCCGTCAACAAAACAAACTGGGAACAGACACGGCTACGGGTACCTGTCGCGGCCGTTAGTCAGTTCCACTTTTCCGTGCCAATAAAAAACGTGTGTCTTTCGGTTTGCGCTTCGCTCGGCAGGAAAAAACATTTTTAATTAAATGCCTCTGATCCGGTCTCCTTATGCAACTCTTGCGTCGGCACCATGATCCATCAAACACTGGCTCCGCACCGCAGCCAATCCTCCAGTTACTCCAAGAGCAAGGCCGTCCACTGGCGACAGAAGTTGCATCGTAGCTGCAATGACCTGGAGCTGGACTATGATGATGGGGACAGATTTCCAGAGTCGCAGAGCTTGTGGCGCAGCTCGGAGATTAACGATAATCCCTGGCAAAGGCCACAGAGCAGTGGCGGCAATAATAATGGTTCCATGCATCAGGGCAGTGTGTGCGATATACCCAACTGTGGCAAAATCCTGTGGGTGCATCGCCAGGGTTATGAGGCTCCCCTGAGGCCACCGCCTCCTTCGTTTTACCAGGGCAGTGGCTCTGCTGCTGCAGGTGGCTACCACGTGGTGGGTCTGCCCCACACGCCTCAGCCCAACCAGCGGCAGGCTTACCTGGCCAATCAGCATGCCATTGGAGCTTCCATGCCGTTGCTGCTCTGGCAACATCAGCAGCAGCAAAAGCAACTCCAGCAGCAGCAGCTTCAGCAGCAGCAACTCTTGCAACAGAAACAGCCACTGCAGAGGTATCAACAGAGGCAACAGCAATGGCCAAGCAGTTAGTATTTCCTACAAAAGTTGCACAAAAAAAGATAGAAAGATAAAGATAGATTCAACTAAGTGCTTATAACCAATCAATTATCCGACTCAGCAAACTTCTGAGTTTTCTTAATCAAAGTGCAATGTTAATTAAGGTTCTGTTAGATTTATTTTCCTCTTGACTTAGTTCTATTACTTTTACTTACGTTAAAACTCAATTTTTGAGGCCAAAACAAGCAGTTAACAAGACAACCGCAAATGTTGGTGAGCGGAACCATAGACCCCCAGTGAGATAAAAGAAAGCCAAGCGATCGATTGAACCCCCTCTGGGCTCCCAGCTGCCACCCAACTCTCTGTGCACTTTCTCATTTGACTAAGCGACCTTCCTGTTTTGCACTTTCTCACGGTTTTTCTTTTGCAAAAAAAAAAAGTTAAAACTCGTTATCACCTGAGAGAGGGAGAAACATAAACAGAGAAACAGAGCGCGATAAATCTGGGCACGCTCCTCACGTTCCCAGCTTCAAAGTCGTTGATAAAAGCTTGAGGCTGTATAAGTAAGTGCGAGGAAAAGCTCACTTTTTTACTACGATCAAGATGAGGAAGCCACTGTGGGCCTTATCAGGTTGTCAGGGGAAATACTTTAATGCTTACTTGATAAAAAAAAAAGGTAGATAATGGCTATCGAACTTGGATTTATAGGGCTATAAACAGAACAAGTAAAGGGGGAGAGATACTCGTAAATAAATATATTTTCTGGCAACAGTAAATAATAAAGTATTTCGACCTTTAGTTAGATAACATAATTAATGTAATTCTCATAAATATAAAGTAAATTTCGTTCTGAATAAAACCTAAAACCAGTTGGGAATTCTAAAGTCATATCTCTAAAATTCATTGTTAACTTCTAATGTATGTAGTTTGCATTAGGTGATAGGATTTAGTAAGAATTGATATTTTTCTAAATATTTTCTCTACAAATTTCAACCCAGCAAACCCCACTGTACTTCCACTAACAAGCTTTTCACACACCCCACTGTCGCAGCAATTAAACGTGAGGCGCCGCCACAAAACGGAACTCGTAGTAATACAAACGCCGCTATCTCTGGGAATTACTCAGCCGGCGGAGAGTCAACAGAGTCTCCCGAAGTTTCGTCTTCTGGTCTTCCCTCTCACTGGTTATCTCTCTCTGCTCCTCGCTCTCCCCTTTGTCTTCCCTCTCTTTCTCTGTGTTTAGCTGCCTTGGGGCTGCGCCATTCAGTTTCGATTTCGATTTCGGTTTCAGTTGAGCGCAACGCGTGCTACGGTAAAGTCGGTTAAGAGTCTCCTACCTCCCCCTCTTTCTTCCACCCCGTCTCCAGTCTTCTGTCACCCTGTCTTCCCGTCACCCCGTCTCTTTCTCTGGCTGAAGTGAAGCGTGTAGCTTGTTTGTTGTTGTTCGCCGATTCGCCGCAGCTTTATCAGGCAATTGCCTTAGCCTTCGATTCTGATTCTAATACTGATTGATTGTTGTGACTAATGAGCGAGCTCCCCCAAAGAAAATGGGGAAATAGCTAAGAAAAGCATTTAAAGAGTTAATTGAGCGTGAAATGCAAGGAAAAGCCTTGAAAGGCTACAGTGTATCTATAAAAGTAAAGCAGTAAAAGATGAAAAACTGCAAAGTTTACCAAGCAGAACTAACATATTCAAATCGTGTTTTAATGGCATAAAATTAACATTGAACTGAAATGTAAAGAAATGGATAAAATACTTAAGAGATACTGTAAGTATCTGTAAGATACTTCATGTAGATAGATGAAAAGATATAGATAAAAGATATTTCCTAGCTACAGATATGAATGGACTTGCCAGCGACCTTCATAGCTATAATTATTTATTGAAAACCAAAGAAAGCTTTACAGATAACCATATCAAATTGATAGTGCCTTGGAATTCGATTTTCCCCTTTCCACAAAGCACTTTCAAACGCTGGCAAAAAACAAAATGTGCCGCAGCAAATCAGTGAAAGTGAAAATCCCCCGAGTGTCAATTAAACCGCTCTTTCCACTCCTCTGACTTGGCGTAAACAGCACGTACAAAGCGGTTGTTAATTGTTGTTGTCCAAAGACAATGCTCTGCGGCTTATGGCGCGTATTTGCCGCACAAATATTTGTGCAGCCGCACCTCTCACCTCCAGAGGTTTCCCCTTGAGAGATTTCCCCAAATCGGGTCAATGGAAGCTGAGTTGTTTTCCATCTTTATCAATCTTTTGCCAGTACCCGCTGCGCAGTTCCATTAAGGCATCAATTGAATCGAATGGAATCGGGGCAATTTAATGCGATCTTTTTACCCGAGATTACTCAAGATGCTCCAGACTGATGCGGAAAAGTCTTGGAGCTTGGAGTTTTTCCTCAGGCACCTCCCTCCCCCAATTAACAGCAGCATTATCTCCAATTATGGCTCATTCTCTAGCTGGGAGAGGCCGCCATCTAATTCAATTGTAGATTGTGGAAGGCCACTTATTACCAGGGGGTTATCAGGTGGATGGAGCTGTTTATTTGCCTACCAATTGGCAGACAGATATGTGCTCGGCCCCAGCCTCAGATAAGCCAGTGTTTCGTAACAGAAGCGGCAACAGTAACGAGCATTTGCGGTTAGATCATCTTACGACTCAGACGAAGGCGACAACACTTTGTTGTTCTAAGGGTAAACAGCGAATACACTAAGGAGAAAAATGGGTTCGTTATCAGTTTGTTATTACACAAAAGAACTAAAGAAATATTTGACTAAAATTATACTAGATAAAGTAAGGTAGTAGTTTCTTAATTCAATTTATTTTGTACTGAAATTTTATAAAAAAGGAAACATACTGGAATACTTTTTTATGTTTTTAAGCATTGTTTACTGGTAGAGAAAAGGGTTCTTAATATTTATGACTTTTGATAAAAAGGGGGACATTTAAACCAATAAACAATCAATAGCTACGTATCTTCTTCCCCATGACTGGCATCAATTTCCATTCTCTTAAATCCTAAATATACAAATTTTACACTGACTCAAGTGCCTTTTGGGAAATATTTATGTATAAAGGTTAAAAAAAAAATAGTATTTCAAATGAGTAACCCATCCGTTCCTGCCAAGATTAGAGGGGAACCAACACAACAGCAAAATATATAGCCGCATCGCTTGAGCTTCAGCCTAACCCGCTCTACGCCTCCTATGCCTCTCATCTTAACAGAGTCTCCCAATCGTTACTATGCCACAGACGTGAACATCCATTTCAAGACCCCGATCAGGCATGAGCAGCGCCAGAACGTGCCGGAGGAGGAACTAGCCATTCGCCAAGCGGAGCATATGCAGAAGCTCTACCAGGAGGAGCGCCGTCGCAAGTATCTACAGGAGCTGCAGGACATGAACTCGCGCCGCCACACAGATAACTTTACACCCTCGCAGAAGTCACCCATTGCCCTCAATCGCTATGATGATTTCCCCACAGACGTGACCCTCAAGTCGCTGGTGGGTCCGAAGACAGTGGCCCGGGCTCTCTTCAACTTCCAGGGACAGAGCTCTAAGTAGGATACCTTTGAAGGAATTTAATTGAAGAGAATTCACTTAAATTTATATATTTTTACAGAGAGCTATCCTTCCGCAAGGGCGACACCATCTATATCAGGCGGCAAATCGATGCCAACTGGTATGAGGGTGAGCACAATGCCATGATTGGCCTGCTTCCAGCCAGTTATGTTGAGGTGAGTGGATATATATCTTATCAAAATTGTTAATATATATTGTAAATATTTTCTCAAAATAGTAGGAAGAATGTAGCATAATATAGAATATTACAAACATAATTTCCACCTTGTTGATAGTGAAGAAATCTTCTGTTTTCGAGTATTTACTTATGATTCAAATTTCTAGGAAAATTATATTTGTTTACAGCCTTAATTTAGTTCAAACGCGAAGCCTTCATATTGTGAGTCATGAAAATTAATTGAGTCATTACAAAACCAACTCAAAGTGGGAAAAATCGAATAGATAGAAATATGAACGAAATCCGAAAAGGGGAACACAGCTGATAGAAACCTCTATAGATAATATAAACACGCCCTTTTTGAGAGCTTAATTAGGATTTCGAAATCTTTTAATTGTTTCCAAAAATTCCAGATTGTCAGCCGTGATGGTGCTCGGACACCATCGAAGCGACCCTCGGAGGGCCAGGCCCGTGCCAAATACAACTTCCAGGCCCAGTCGGGCATCGAGCTCTCCCTGAACAAGGGCGAACTGGTAACCCTGACGCGTCGAGTGGATGGAAACTGGTTTGAGGGCAAGATAGCCAACAGGAAGGGCATCTTCCCGGTCTCCTATGTGGAGGTAAGTCTAATCAGATCAAAGTTTTTCCATATACTTATAACGATGATACCCTTAGGTACTTACCGACATTGGGGCCGAGGATATTGCCGCCAGGACAACCACCGTGATCAGCACTCAGAGCACCACCAACCTGCGTCCCAATCTGGATGTGCTGCGCACAAATATCAACAATGAGTTCAATACGATCACGCAAAACGGAGCCCAGCCCCCGAATGGCATTCTGAAGGAGACGCGAACGATTCACAAGACGGATGCCCTTCATGTGGACACCAGCTCGGAGCCCTTGGCGTAAGTCAAGCCTTAATATAAAATATTTTTAAAGCAAAATTAACTATTATCTTTTCTTCTTAGGTATCGCGCCCTGTACAAGTACCGACCGCAAAACTCCGACGAACTGGAGCTGCTCGAGGGCGATGTGGTCCATGTTTTAGAGAAGTGCGACGATGGTTGGTTCGTGGGCACCTCGCAGAGGACCGGCTGCTTCGGCACATTCCCCGGCAACTACGTGGAACGGGCCTAAGGAGGCGACCGATCAAATGGATGATCCTCTAATCTTAATGAATTTTATGAATTGTAGTCTAATATGAGGAGGAATCAGCGTGGCCGGGGCGAAGGCAGTTCTATGATTAATTCTGATTTGGTTTAACTGGATTATTTTATGTTGTTGTTGAATAATTCTTATCCTGCTAATTCTGCTGCTTTCGTTTTGCCGTAATTTAAAGCTATTTATTTATTTTTAAACAGAGCATTAATTATATCAATGTTGGAATTACGTTTATTTATGAGAAAAAAGCAAAAAAATATTAACCAGAAAAGTTGTACCCTCCTCCCCCACTCCGAGACACCCCATTCACACACACACACACACCCACACAAAAACACACACCAAATATCGAAGGAACTACATTAAGATCATACCATATATATATTTTGTCGTTTACCTACTAATTTTAACTAGTCACAGCTAATTTCCAAAAAAGAAAATCAATTACAAACAAAAAAAAAAGATAATGAAGAAGCTAGTGGAGACCGTTGAACTAAAGTGCCTTAAAGTTGAAATTTGAATGACTAAAAACGTGAAATAAAAATATATAAAAAAGAAAGAATAATAAGGAACAGGTGCTAAGATCCCATGTGCCCCTTGTTGAGTCCCGGCAATGGGGATTATTATTACTGATAATTATTATTATTATTTATGATGATATTGTCGAGTCCGAACCAGCAGAAACCATTTTATAATCATTACAAAAAGCGTTTATTACACAGACACTGTTGCAAGCGTATTTAGTAAATAAAGAAGAAACTAAAAAACAGTTGAAACTTGTTTTTTTTATACCCTTGCAGGGTATTATAATTTCAGTCAGAATTTTGCAACGCAGTGAAGGAGACGTTTCCGACCCTATAAAGTATATATATTCTTGATCAGCATCAACAGGGGAATCTTTCTAGATTTGCCAGGAAGAAATCGATTTTTGGGCCATTTTTGCAAAATTTTTGATTTTGATAAAAAATTGAATTTTCCAAATTTTTAAATGAAGTATGCAGATTTATTAACTGTAAAAAATCTTGCACAGAACAGTTTTCTGATTTAAAATTAATGCTCTTTTGGCCGAGTTATGATATTTTTAATTTAAAAAAAAATCAAGAAGTTTTTTAATATAAAAAATCCGATTTTATAATACAAAATAATATTTTTCCAAGTCAAGGAATCATTTCCGACACCATAAACCATATATATTCTTGATTAGCATTAACATGCGAATCTTTCTAGACATGTCCGGAAGAAATCGATTTTTTGGCCATTTTTGCGAAATTTGATAAGGGGTTACATCATTAAAATTAGCAAAAATAGCCATAAAAATTTGATTTCTTGAAATTTTAAATTTGGTATGCAGTTTTTTTAAATTAATAAAAACTAACACAAAACTGCTTTCCGAATCGAAATTAATGCATTTTTGGCTTAGTTATGATATATTTTAATTGTTACCTGCAAGGGTATACAAACTTTGGCTGGCCAAAGTTAGCTTTCTTTCTTGTTTTTGGGTGCTTTAAGGGATGATAAAAGAAGTTACTTTATAGAGGTTATATAAAGAATATTTATTTAAAAAAAATTAAGGATTTTTATAAAGTATTTCGGGATTTGTATTATTTTTTAAATCATTTTAAGATACAAACTTTTAACCAAAGCATAAATTAATTAACAAATTAAGGTATAATTCCCCTCATATTTAAAATATATATATTCTGGCCAAGTTTTCCCAATACATTTCAGAATCGAATGTAATAACATTAAACTTAACATTCCCCGTAATATTAGTTTAACAATAGCTTGCTCCTTGTATAAATTATCCTGCTCCTCCAAAGACCGACCATCACGTTTGTGCCAGCTTCCGTTTCCTTTCCTGCTTGAGCTCCCTTTTCACCGCTCGCTGCTCCAGCTCCTCCGTATACTCTGCGTACATGGCCAGCAGTGCGGGATAGAGCGTGTGGTAATGCTGCAAATCCTCCACGGTCACCTGCATATTATCAAAGGCAATGGCCACCTGCTGCATATCCTCGGCACTGGGCAGCCGCGGGCACTTGGCGTAGCGCTGCGAGAAATGCGTAAGGATCGTGTGGCGGGCACCCATAGTGCGACCTTGCTGAATGGCCTGCGACACGGTGCTGTGCGTTTTGAAGCGCGCCTCCTCCTCCAGATCGTCCTCCATGGTGGCCTCGTGGATGAGCACTGTGGAATTGCGTCCCAGTTCGACTAGATCCAGGCAGGGCATAGTGTCGCCGCTGTATGTGATTTTAATGGGTTCATTTTCGTATTTCGCTGCCAGGGTGAGACTTATTCCAAACGAGTTTGGACAGTGCCGCACTAGGCAGGTGGCAATGGAGGTGATGCCCAGGGGTTCCACTTTCTCACCGGTCAGCGGGCTGGCCAGGAGTTCACCATTGGCTACGAGAGTATAGGCATCTTCTATGGGCTCTATCTGGCGGTTGTAGAACTCCAACCAGGGTTCAATTTGACGAGGAGCCAGCAAAATAAGTGGCTCGGTCTTCGGTTCCAGCTGCCTTCGTTCCCTGAGCAATCCAATCAGTCCAATATGGTGATCCGCATGCAGATGGGACACATATATCACCTGAAGCTGCCGGAGAATCTGTTCCGCTTTGGCGGCACCATAAAGCCGCACAATTTGGCCATAGGTACCTTCGCCGCAATCCAACAAAGCAAAGGACTCGGCAGCAGTTTGGATCAGAATTGAGCTGACGTTACGGGTCTTGTTGGGAATACAGGATCCCGTGCCCAGGAAGATTATCTTGGGCCAGCTCTCGGCAGAGTGGGCAGGAAAGCTGTAATCTTCTTTGAATTTAGCTAGGAGTTCTGTAAAGCCGGGCACAGCATGCGTCTCCTTCACATACTCCTCGGGCGTTAGCTTGGACTCAAGGGTGCGATCCAAACCTAAGGGGAAAAGGTTTAAATCTTATTTTATTCTTGTAAATATTTTCATTACTCACCTTTTCTAGGCCTCAGGTGAAAGCTGGTCATAGAGACTACGCCCTGTTCCGACTCATCCTCAATTTCCTTTTCCGATTTATCACTTTCATCTGTCTCGTCCAGCTTGGTTTTCTTGAGGTTCTGACTCAGTTTCTGGCTTTGGCAGGGCATCGACTCACCCAATAGGGGAAAGACATGAGGGGCAAGTTGATGCAACTGATGCTGGATGCGGTGGGCAGCAGCATAGCCAGAAAACTGGTTCTGCGGGGAACTCAAATGGATGTGCTGTATGCCCGGAGGAAAGTTCTCCTCCAGAAAGTGCTTGTAGTCCTGCCGGGAGGCAATAGGATGAGGCGTAAAGTGCACCACCAGGCGTACCTTTGTCAGCTGCTCTTCGTCCAGTTCCTTTAGGCGTTTAGCTTGGGCTAGAAGTCCTGGCAGATACTCTTCACTCGGAACATCCAGGAAAACAAAAGAGAGCGCCGACTCACTGGGCTCGGTTACATCCACAGAGCGGACCACTTTGCCATCGGGCAGGGTGATGTCCTGGCCGTTCTTGAGTTGCCCCAGAAGTGGGCCTGGAGGCACACCCTGTTCCACGCACTTGACCAGGTTCAGAGCGCCGGCACGCGGTTTCAGCTGACAGATGTAGTTTATTACACTCTTCTCCGGATCCTCGGAGCTGATCAGCGGCAGGGAGTCCACCTTGAGGATAGAGTCCTCGAAGCAGCTTCCCTCGGAGCAGTCAATCGTCTGCATTTGAAGGTTTTTCAGAACCACAAAGCGTCGCATGGACTGCAGCATGGGGGCAAGATGTGGCGGTCCATGGAGTCCCACGTTGCGTACTCCGGCATCCTGGATGGTTAACGCCAGGCCTGGCAGTCCGCCAACTGTTGCCCACGTGTTACGCGTCACAAAGATCTGCTCGAGACGCGACAGCCGCGTCTTGTGCTCGTGGGCCAGTCGCTGGGTTCCCTCGCCGCAGTTGAACAGGTAACGCGCCTGATCGGTAAACAGGTAGACGGCAGCAGGTGCTCCATTGGCGCCGGCACCAAGGATTTGGAGATTCACGGATCCGGGCACCACTGATGCCAGCTTCTTCCTCAAGACATTCGGTTCTCGCTCGTAGCGGGGTCCTGTTAAGGGATCCGTGGCGGATGCCAAGGTGGCTTCCACCGAGCTACTCATCTTTAGAGTGCGCAGCGAACTATAAAGAGGCCGACGCACGGATTTCAATAAAAACATTCGTATTTTGTCGACGGCGGCAATAACGTGCCCGCCAACAGCTGTTGCGCCTGGAGTTGAAACTATGCATTAGAGATGGCACTTTTGTTAGAGATGATGCGATATATTTACTGAAAGCGATAGTTGGAAAATAATACGACATTAATTTCTGCTGCTTGAATATTATTATATTTTTTATTTAATATATTTATATATATATTAACTTAAAAATATTGTTTTATTTTTTTTTTTATTTATTTATTATTGCAAACTGCATGGGTATATTTAATAAGCCGAATGTAGCCTCCTTTCTAGTTGTGCATCATTTAATTTGAATTTTTCATTACGTTTAACTTAGCAGTTAGTATCAATTAATTAATTAATTAATCAAGTCGAGTTAATTATTTACCCTGAAATAATTAATATTTAGCAATTGTGCATCCCTGAAAACACACGTTTTCCAACACTTGAATCCTGGTTTATCTGCTCTACAGCACTACGGTCTCTCTAATGCCCACGTGCGTTTTGTTTGGCCTCTGCCGGCGCTAAATTCAACCAAATTAAACCGAATTTTCGAGGATTTGCAAAGATTTCTTAGTCTCCCAAACACCCAGGAACTCCGGCAATATGGTCTTCTTCACGTGCAACGTCTGCGGCGAGTCGGTCAAGAAGCCGGCTGTGGAGAAGCATTACCAGACACGCTGCCGCAACAGCGAGAAGAACGTGTCCTGCATGGACTGCCTTAAGGACTTCTACGGCGAGGAGTACGTGGCGCACACCAAGTGCATCTCAGAGGCGCAGAAGTACGCCAGCCAGAGCCAGGGCTTCGTGGTCAAGGAGTCGCGCAACAAGAACGCCCAGAAGCAGGAGGGCTGGATGGACATCATCCGCGCAATCCTCGACAGCAGCGAATACAATCTCACGCCCGCACTGCGCTCCGCCTTCCAGAAGCTGCAGAGCGTGGACAATGTGCCGCGCAAGAAGGCCAAGTTCGAGAACTTTGTGGGCAACTGCATGCGATTGCCGCGCCAGCAGGCCACCCAAGTGTGGGACATCCTCGAGAAGGAGCTGAACAAGATGAAGGAGGCCAAGCAGGCGGAGCTGGCCAGAATCAAGGCGGAGAAGGTGGCGGCCATACAGCAGCAGCAGCAGCAAGATAAGGAGGCCGAGGAGGCGCCCCCGAAAAAGAAATCCAAAGTAGAGGAGGAGCCCAAAACCGAAGAGGAACCCACCAATGGCACCTCCAGCGACTTCGATTGGTCTGCCCAGCTTACCAAGATTGTTGGCAAGCAGGCGGATGGCATTTTTCTGGAGAAGCTACGCAAGAAGCTGCTCAAGAAGTACACCAAGCATTTGTCTGTAGAGGATTTGAGCGAAAAGCAGGCCAAGAAGTTCCAGAAGCGTTTCGACAAGCAACTCAAGCTCACCGAGGCCCTGCAAGTCGACGGCGATCTCGTCAAGGTGGCTAGCTAGCGGAGCAACCCACCTTTAGTCGTAGTTAAGTTATAGCAAAGGACAATAAAAGTGTAAGCTGCAAGTGTTGTTTCTTGTATTCCGATTCTCTAGGTCTTATACTTTAGGTACTGCATGCACTGCCTCAGATGATTGCGGGTGGCCTCGCACTGGGCTGTTTGATGGAACTGTTTGGGAGGACAGTGGAGGATCATCTCGTTGGCCACGCACTCGAGCACCAAGCCGGGATAAGGATGGCAGCCGTGCTTGGAGAGGCGTCTGGCCAGCTTCTTGACGCCCTTGTGCGGCAAAAGGTCCAGAGCTGTTGAAAAAGGGAGTGAGTTTTGGGTAAATCTTTTGGAACTATAGACCCACCATGTTTGTCGCATTTGATGTAGGTCTGATAGAGCAGTTCTATATCCGCATCGTTGACTAAATCCATTTCCAATTGCTCTTTAACCTGGTGGAGAACTAAAGAACGACGATCCTTGCCCAGGAATTCGGTGTTGTTGAAACTGCACTCGGCGGTGCACTGATCAAAGAGTTAGTTTGGGTTTTTAGAGAGTCTTTGTGGTATAGATCTTACAAACATGTATGTCTGCTCCTCCTCATCCGTCTCGTAGGCAATCTTCTCGTGCCACTTGACCTGGCAATCGCTAAACTGGTGACTCTCGTCATGCAAATCACAGCAAAAGTCGTGCTGTAATATATATCCTTTAATACTCGAAAAACCTCTTGATCACACCCACCATGGTATCCACCGCATTCAGTTCACAGTCCTCGTCCAGATCGGGAGCCGTGGCCCTGCCCAGAGCCCAAGCGGGCAGGAGGAGCAGCACCAACACGTTTCGTAGTTGGAAACACATTTTCCAAATTACCCCCTGAATAAGTCAACCGCTTTTATAACTGAAAAGCCGGGCTGTGAAGGGTTAATTTTGCGTAACATTTAATGGATTTTAATTTGAGGCTTAATTTATGCTTTTAAATATTCCAACCGAAATTTGCCCGCGCCAGACAGGCCGAGTGCAGCGTCATCATGATCATCATCTTCCTCGTCGTCGTCGTCATCGTTCCGCTCCAGTTCCTGGAACGCACTGCATTTCCATTAGCCCGCTGCACTCGAAGATAAATGATGAAAAGGCGCAGGCATCCATCACCGATCAAGCGGCGCAATATCCAAATATAGCAAAAATATTCAGGGCCCGGGAGAAGCCACGCACTTTCTTGATTGCGCTGCTATGTCTAGCGGCAAATGCATGCGGAAGCATTCCCAGTCCCCCAATCCGAAACCCATTCCCACACCCATTCCGCTGCGTTCAGCTGCAACTAATTAACCGAGAAATACATCATAAATAGTCCAACTGCCGCGGTTCCAGTTGCATCTTTGGTTCCAGCTCCTCCTTGCCAGCAGCACACGATCGTCATTAGTCAGGGCGCAGACGTTGCGTCGCTGCCTCAGAAGTTCCCATTTGTTTATTTTAGACTCGCACACACCCCGTCGGAGCGAGGGAGTGGTGTGAAGAGTAGTGATGCCAACGACCGATAACAATACATTATAGTTAATCTATATTGGATGATGGTTCAGTTTACTATTGAAATTAACTTGTGATATCATAAAAAGTCTTTAAAAAAATGGGTTTAAAATATTCTAAAGGCTTCCCTGTTTTCAAAGTATATTTTTCATATTTTAATACATATATATTTTTAAGTACTCAAGTTCTTAAGATATATATTCCAGAAAATAACAAAAGAAAATCGGTTATATCCGGAAAAGTCCAACTAAGCACCACTGCAGCAGGGCTTCGACATAAGGAATGGGTGCGGAGGTGCGTGTAGACTCCACTGGTATGCGGTAGGTATCCGCTCCTATATGCCGCAACGGCGCTCCACGGTGGCATGCGATTAGGGAATTTTTTGGGGGGCAAGAGCAATCGAGCGGCACGTGCCGCCCGCCTGAAGTTCAGTTCTCCGGAATAGGAATGCCTGCGTCTAGCTAGCTGGGCTAGGAAGCCAGGCCTACAAGAATCCAAGAATCCAACAGAATCGTCGAAGGTGGCCATATGTTTAGAGTATTTAATGGCTTGAATCGTAATTTAAATTCTAAATATTATATTTATTCCAACAAGATGATCAAATGATCATTTAATCTCAAGCTCTTAAAATACAGGACAGGATCTTAAAGAAGTTAAACTTAACAACTAAAACTTATATTAATCCCTCAATCTTTCCTCCTAATTACAAGGCCTTTAAATATTTCTTTGCGATTCAATTTGAATACACTTAATAATCGATTAATTAGGTACACCCCCACGAGTCGAGTGGATGTTGATGGTAAACATCAACAATGCATTGTCATAATCGAACAGCATCTGGCTCTAATTGCAGTTTGTGGATGCTTTTCCAGTGGATGTAGATGTATCTCTGCTGCCTTCACGGAGAACTCTCGCTTTCGGGCGCTCCAATACACACACAGACACGTGCGCACCGCACACAGATACTCGCGCGGATGTAACGGACGGATGAACAGCGAGTCGAGGAGAATCCACAGCGAAGACGACGGCCTATCAGTCGAGAGTCTGCAGTCGAGGCGTGCGGTTCGTTCGATTTCCCGGTTCCGGAGGCAAAACAAATTCAGCAGGCAGTGTAGCTCCTCCTCTGCCGCCACTTGGAGCGACAGTTCCAAAAAATCTGTCAAACTATACATACCTCTGCGCTATAGATACCCCTTCGGGTGGATAGTGCCACATTCTATTTATTTATAAACCGCCTATATTTTTGGATCAAACTTGAGGCGAAAGCAAAAGTGTTCTAAGAATTTCTGTGTGTCTAGTGTGAAAATGCCTTTGCCGAAATTGTGATTGTGAAATCCTCGCGTCTCAAAGTCACACAAGTGAACATATATAAAGATTCGATACAGAAAACTAGATATATCCCGCCACAATGCCGAGCTTCGGCGCTAAATTCCTCGCCTGCCTGCTGATCAGCTCGGTGATCCTGGTCAGCGGCCAGTACGAGCATTATTTGGACAGCCTGCGCTCCAACGAGCTGTACGAGTTCGTGGACGACGGCTCGGCCTCGGGCAGCATCCAATACCTGCCCAAGGGCGACAGCGAGCGGATCCTGCTCCAGCTAGAGCAGCCCATCCACTTCTATGGCGAACAGTACGAGCAGCTATACGTGAGTAATGCAAATCTAGGGCTCCGGCTTCGATTGAACACAAAGTATCTGGAAGATTGTGCACTGAATGAATTTTTGCAGCCTGCAGGCTGATAAGAACGATCCGATAAGCGGCAATCAGCATGCAAATACTCGGCGATTTAATAGTTTCTAGAGCATTTATATTAGTCTATTTCGGGGGAAGCATGCTTTGTTGTGGCCCGCGTATTTATAGGCGACATTAATTTTCGGCAAAACATGACAGGTCGGACGGACGAACATCGATTTCCACACACAGACACATCCACATCCACACATCCACTTGAGGGTGGTCCAAGACCAAGACGCAACCCATTGATGTGTCTCCTTGCCGCCTTGGCCAACTGCCAGGGCTCCTGAGCAGCCGGGCACTGAGTGTCTGAGTGGTTTCGGCACTTGGCAGCCAAAGTTATGAGTTCTCCGAGTGGAGAGGCTTCTGCTGCTGCTGCTGCTTCTGCGAGTGTCGCCTATTTTAGAACTGTTGTTTTTCAGTCGCCGCGCTCTGCATTTTGTTAGTTAATTAACTGAATTTATGTGTCTGACGTAGAAAAATAGCACGCGGCACAAAATCGGAACACGCCGGAGCGGGCTCTATGGCCATAGAAATCCATAAATTTATTGAAATTCCTGGCCGAAAGAGGAGCCTGTCGCTTGGGTCAAATTGGTGTCGAAACCATTTGGAAATTGTATAAATAGACTCGTCATATTCCCATCCAAAATATTGTGTGAATAACCCCAGCCTGTATGTGCTATATATGTTCTCCTGATAAGTCTATACTTGAGGCACTTCAAATTATTATTTTGATTAAGTATTAAAATATTTATGGCAGATTTCTGGAAAGGTTTTATTAGCATATTCAAGCAAAGTCTGATTTTTTTATTAATTAAAAATCTAGTTCAGAAATTCTAATCTGAATTAGGCCAATGAATGCCCCAATTTGGTTTGAAATGTGTTATGTTCACTTACCCAACCTCAATTTGGCATCCATTGCGGCATGGAGTCCGTGTGGAGTTGGTTTAAATCACCTGCCAAGCTGGCCGGAATTCCTAGGCCACATGCCACGTCGTGGTCCCCCTGCGGCGATAAATGGAAGCCCCAGGAAGACACTGATTTATGCTGCGGCCTGTCGGCAGCCACAACACAGGCATTTCTCGAACACCTGTGCTCCAATTCCGCTTCGGATTCCCTGTTTTGTTTATTCAGATTGCCTGTTGCATGGCTGGAGATGACGGAGGAAGCTGCATTCCCGTGGCTAATTTTAGACGGAACACTGAACGGATGTTGGGCGAGGACTCAATTAGTGGCGGTCTCAGCCTCAGATCATTTACACTATTACTATATCCCTTCGATCTCCGATCGTTTTGCCGCCTCTGTTAATGATTTGTTGTTGTTTTGTTTCCGCCAGGAGAATTCCCATTAGGAGTTAAGTGGCCCGTTAGCACTTCACGGGGCTGCACTAATTGCAGTGCCATATGGAGGCCAAGTACTCTTTCAAGTACTTTCAAGTGATCCCAAGTGTAACTTCCTCATTCTCATGTGTTGAAAAAATAATGTTGTATATCCCTGAACCTATTTAATTTGAAATATTTACACTGAAATTATATTTAGGGTTTATATAAAATTAAAAGGATATATACTCATATTTACGAACTCTTCTTTATGCTCCTTTCCAGATCAACACCAACGGCATCCTCACCTTCAATGTGGAGTTTGCCGAGTACCTCAATCAGCCTTTTCCCTTGGAGTATGCATCGATAGCGGCCTTTTACTCCAATGTGGACACCTCCAACAGTGACGATGACACCTCCATCTCGCTCTTCGAGACCAAGGATCTGCCCACGCTGGACCGTGCCACATCTCTGGTGCGCTATGCCTTCAGCAGTCAGGCGGAGTTTGAGGCTCGCCAGGTGATCGTGGCTACATGGCGCAATGTGGGCTACTTTGACTCCAAGACGGACAAGCTGAACACCTTCCAAGTGGCCTTGATTGTGGGCGAGCAGCAAACCTTTGTGCAGTTCATCTACCCAGAGCACGGCCTCAACTGGCTGCAGGGCGAATCCGCTGGCATGGGCTTACCCGACATCCGTGCCCAGGCTGGGTTCGTGTCAGAAGATGGACGTTACTTTACCTTGAATGGTTCCGGATCGGAGAATGTAAGTGGGACGGAAAGATTTCTAAAATAAAGGATCTTTTTTTAATGTAAATTCATACATTTCTCCCTCTTCAGGCACGCTTCCTCAGCGAGAATACCAACCTGGGTGTCCCTGGCGTCTGGCTGTTCGATGTGGCTCCCATTGAGCCACAACAGAATGTGAGGACTCCCGACAATGCTGAGACCCTCACTGAATCACCTGCCTTGGCTCAGAGTTGCCAGGCCGCTGGTCATCAGTGCCACGAGCATGCCCAGTGCCACGACAAGGCCGAGGGGTATTGCTGCGTCTGCGCCAATGGATTCTATGGCAATGGAAAGGCCTGCCTGGCCAATGACCTGCCCATCCGAGTGACTGGCTCCCTGGCCGGAGAGCTGAACCGCCAGCCCGTCGACGAGCAGGCCAAGCTGCAGTCATATGTGGTGACCATCGATGGCCGTTCTTACACCACCATCAACCCGTTGAGCGACGAGCTGGGCGCCAAGCTGCGTCTAGTGCTCCCCCTGCTGACCACCGTTCCCTGGCTATTCGCCAAGTCTGTGGGTGGTGTGGCCAACGGCTACCAGCTGACCGGCGGCATCTACGACCATGTCTCCCGCTTGCAATTCGACTCTGGTGAGACTCTCCACGTGAACCAGACTTTCGAGGGCCTTAACTACTGGGACCAGCTGTCCGTCAAGATTGAGCTGTACGGCGATGTGCCTTCGGTGCCCGCCAACGCTGTCCTTCACCTTCCCGACTATGTGGATGAGTACCGCTTCGTGCGTCCCGGGGAGCTGCAGTCGGTTCAGTCGCATCAGCTAGAGGTCACAGAGGAGCAGCGCGTCCTAGGCGTGCAAGTGGACCAGCGCATCCTGTACAACAGCTGCCTAAGAGACGATGAGCCCGACCCGACCGAAACCACCGTGCTGCAGAAGATCTCCAAGGTGACCCTGGACTTTGTGGAACGCGACCAGGCGCTGCGCATCAGTGCCGTAAGCAAAGTGGGCGTCACTGCCGAGTCCAATGCCTGCACGGATGGAACCGCCGAGTGCGGGGAGAACTCTGTGTGCGTTCCCGACGAAGATACTTATCGCTGCGACTGCCACCATGGCTATGCCGCCCAGGTGGACGAGCGTGGACTGCAGGTTTGTGTGGACATTGACGAGTGCGCCGCGGGCACCCATGTCTGTGACGAGAATGCCATTTGCGAGAACACGGAGGGCGGTTTCAGCTGCTACTGCTCCGAGGGATTCCAGGGCAATGGCTATCGCTGTCTGTCCAACTCCACTGCCGACAACATTGAGTACTCCACGCCGGCAGGCCAGGCGCAAGGGGAGTATACTCCTGAGCCCAATCCTTATCCCGAACAAGAACAGGAGCAGGGCCAAGATCAGGATCAGGGTCGCGAGCAGCAGCCCCAGCCAGATCCTTATCCATATCCCGGACAGAATGAGCAGGTGCCCCAACATCCCGACGAGTGCTATGTAAGTGCTTTGATTTCTGAATTATATTTTTCAACAATAATTTTTGTGGTTTCTTAGCGCTGCTCTAAGGACGCCAACTGCCTCGAAGGTCGCTGTACCTGCCGTGATGGCTTCTCCGGCGATGGCTACCAGTGCACCAACATCTGCGGAAACGGCGAGGTCTGGGAGGACGGTCGCTGTGAGCCCCTGCTGCTGGACAGGCATGACGTGGAGCCGTCTTGCGATTTCTTCGGCGAGTGCAGCTGCCCCGATGGATATGAACTATCCGAGGATGGTCAGCGTTGCATCTACGCCCACAACTTGGACTCGCACGAGATGAATGTTGATCTGAGTGAGTTTCAGAGAGCCACACGGCGTATGAGTAATAAAGTAAGCTAAAACCTCTCTTTAAACTGCAGTTCCCTGCGACGTGGATGCCAACTGCCACATCAATGCCACCTGTGTCTGGTATGACCAGGAGCTGCGCCACATTTGCACCTGCAAGACCGGCTTCAGAGGCGATGGCTACAACTGCGAACTCATCGATGACTCCTGCGCGATTGTAAGCTAAGATCCGGGCTCCATCTGGGCAATCTAATAAAACCTTTGCCTTCAAGAAACCGGATATTTGCGACGTCCACGCCTCCTGCCAATACAACGAACAGCTGGGCAAGTCCGAGTGCCAGTGCGTGCGCGGCTATGAGGGCGACGGCTTCCGCTGCCAGCTGGCCCCCGAGTGCCAAGCCGCCGAGCATTGCGGCGAGAATGCCTTCTGTGACGATGGAGTCTGCCAGTGCCAGCAGGACTACGAAAGGGATATCAGTGACCGCTGTGTGCCGGCCGGGCGCTGCGGCAATGTCTTCTGTGGCTCCAATGCCATCTGCAAGTGGGATTCGGTTCAGAGTCTTCAGTTCTGCGACTGCCTCGAGGGTTACCAGGGAGATGCTCTCCAAGGATGCACCAGCAAGCCTTTGTCCTGCCATGTTTCCAACAACTGCGGCATCCATGCCACCTGCGAGCCCACCGAGTAAGTGTTAAGAGGTTCTAAATTCCTTTCAGCTCTCTATTTATTTGTAATTTTTTCGAAAAGGGATCCTGCCAACTACGAGTGCCAGTGCATCGCCGGCTTCCATGGTGATGGCTATGTTTGCATCGAGGAGCAGAACTGCCTGAACAACCCCACTCTGTGCGACATGAATGCCCAGTGCCGCTCGACCAACTCCGGTCTGGTCTGCGTTTGCAATCAGGGTGAGTCCCAAATCATTTATCGGAATTTTCCAAAGATACAGCCACAGCGTCTGAAACCGCTTTGTCGCTCTGAATGGCCTGTGTCTCCTGGAGGCCCTTCTTCTGATCACACGAACTGCACGAGCTGAAGAAGACAAAGCCGAATAGGGTTAGGGCCAGCACCACGTTGAAGTAGCCATTGTTGCGATCCCAGGTCAGCGGATGCATGAAGAACTCCCGCATGGACTGCATGGGAGAGGGTCGCTTGGTTGGGTCCTCGGGGCTCAAGTTGGGCTGGTTGAGGTGGCGCAACGGTGGTTGGAATCGCATCTTGAGTCCACCGGCAACTGTCCGGGACATCCGCGTCAGTTGGTTCATTTCTTTAGTGGAGAAAGAGCTAAAATTAATGGAGAAAGAAGTAAGGCAGGGAGTACTTACTGAAAAATACAGGAAATTTTGATGGAAAGAGGTGGAAAGGTTTGGAGAAGAGAAATAAGTTTAGGAAAGAAACCAGTTTGACAGAGATTACAGAGATTCCTTTCTGTATCTTGATTCCAGGTTTCTATGGCAATGGCTCTGTGTGCCAGGAGCGTCAGCAGCACGAATCAGACTTCTTGATCGTCAGCCAGGGCGTGGTGATCGTGAGGGTTCCCCTGAACGGACGCAATGTCTTACCCATTTCGGTGGCCCAGATGGCCATTGGCCTGGACAAGGACTGTGTGGAGGGTCGTGTCTACTGGGGCGACATCTCAGCTAAGAAGATTGTGAGCGCCAAGTACGATGGAACTGATGCCCGTCCCTTCATCACCACTGGTGGGTTGGTCATATCTCCTCCAAAGCACAACCTCTTAGCTAGTTTATACCCACAGATATTGAATCGCCCGAGGGCATTGCCATTGATGTGATCTCCCGCCGCCTGTACTGGACGGACTCGGTGAAGGACACCATCGAGGTGGCTAGCCTGGATGATCCCACGTTGAGGGCAGTGATTATCAACAAGCAGCTGGTGAATCCCCGTGGTATTGCCGTGGATCCCTACAGGGAGTAAGTGTCATCTGTCTCCTTGAGGTCCTCCTGTTCTGAGAGTTTGATTTTATCCTTAACAGAAAACTCTTCTGGTCGGACTGGGACCGTTCTGCACCCAAGATCGAGATGTCCAATTTGGATGGCACTGGTCGGGAGCTGCTGCTGGGCAAGGAGTCTGTGAATCTGCCCAACTCCCTGGTGGTGCTCGATAACTCTGGCGAGTTGTGCTTCGCAGATGCTGGCACCAAGAAGGTTGAGTGCATTCAGCCGCAGAACCGCCAGCTGCGTCCCATCTCCAATGAGCTGTCTTACCCCTTCGGCCTGACTTTCACGCACGATCAGTTTTACTGGACGGATTGGACCACGTGAGTTGGCAGCGATCTTCCTCTCATATCGTATAAATATAATTTAAAATTAATACTAATTTTTATAGCAAAAAACTGGAGAGCGTGGACAGCCAGGGCACGCGCCAGAAGGCCATCCAGACTCCTTTCTTCGGCAGTCACAAGATGTACGGCATGACAGCCGTGGAGCAGCAGTGCCCGCAGTACCAGAGCCCCTGCCAGATCAACAACGGCGGCTGCACGGACTCCCGGCTGTGTCTGGTGAATCGCCAGGCTCCGTCCGGCAAGAGCTGCAAGTGCACCAGTGCCTCGACGGGTTGCACTCTGCCATCGCCCTATCCCAACTATTAATTTTATCTTTAATGCAAACTTAAACAAGAAAGGAAGCTAACTTCGGCACGCCGAAGTTTGTATACCCTTGCAGATTGGTTTTGATGTTTATTTTATAGATTTAAATGCTGAAAACACTCACAAAACAGAGTTTCATTACATTTTACCTATACTTATTATGTTTACAGTTTGACAGTTACAGTTTTACATTCTCAGCTTTATATATTTTATACATTTACCGATCGCTTCTATGGCAGCTATAAGATATAGTTGTCCGATTTTTATGAAATTTATACCAAAATTCTAGAATAATAAAAAAAACGTATATCTCAGAGTAAATAAAAATGCGTTGAAAAACAACGAAGCTATAATTTTATTTCTATTAATTTCTCGATCGTTCCTATGGCAGCTATATCATATAGTCGTCCGATTTTCATAAAATTTTTACCAAAATTCTGGAATAATATAAAATGGCTATATCTCAAAAATGATGCAAAAATATTGAAAAACAGCCAAGTTATACTTTTTTTCTAAAAATTTATCAAACATTTGTATGGCAGCTATATGATATAGTCGTCCGATCCGGCCCGTTCCGACATATATAGCAGTGAGAGCATATAGAAGACTATATGCAAAGTTTCATTCAGATAGCTTTAAAACTGAGGGACTAGTTTGCGTAGAAACAGACAGACAGACAGACGGACAGACGGACAGACAGACAGACGGACAGACGGACAGACAGACAGACGGACAGACGGACATGGCTAGATCGACTCGGCTGTTGATGCTGATCAAGAATATATATACTTTATAGGGTCGGAAACGTCTCCTTCACTGCGTTGCAAACTTCTGACTGAAATTATAATACCCTGCAAGGGTATAAAAACTAATATTTTTCGATACGTATACAAAATCGCAAGATCAACAAACTCAAAGAAACGTTAACCAAAGGTAGGAGGAGCGCAATCGAAGTAAACTAAAATAAATTAAATTAACTAACTAGGAAAGCCTGTGTGCCATTCTATGTAAAGCAACTCAAAAGAAGATTAATTAATAAAGAATAATTAATAAAAGGGGTCAATAAAGTACCATAAAAAACAGAGCTCAACCCGTATGATCTATCAACTTCTCTCCCAAGAACGAATGTAAGAAACTTAAAAGAGCATTGGGTCGGCGGAGAACCCGAATTTTGTTTAGAAATTGAGTGAAAAGGTTCCTCAATCTATAAACTTAATTGGAAACACCACTTATCCTTAGTAAAACTCCCATTCGATTATTTCCAACTATAGTTTGAGTTTATTGTGAGTTCTGTTAGGCATGCCTTAAAGAGCATGGCGCCGAATAAATATTACAGCAAGTTTATACCCTAGTCCACACCGAATGTTATCTCTAATGCTGCAGCCAATGACAGATGCGGTTTCGTTACCTACTTTTGTACATTGAGACATCGATTTGATCTATGTGGTAGAGATGCAGATATACAGATTATACATAGGTATACAGATCTATATAAATAGGTATTTCGGGGTGCTCTAGGCATATAAGCTTATCTAATTTATTCTCGAGACACTGGAATGCATTTCATCGTCATCGTTGACTAAAATTTTCTTAAAAAACTGCTTTTAGGGGGGTGCTTTAACTAACATTTTTGAAAGAGTGTGTGTGTGTTGTCAGGTGTCTTTTGTCTGTTGTGTATTTCTGTGTAGGTACATTGTTTGCTTTAGCTACTTCCTATAGATCCTATATGTGTATATATCTGGGACGTGTCTTGGCCGTCGAATTGAGTTAGAGGGACTTGGGTTGCGTTGACTAACAGCAAAGACCTTATAATAGATGCATAACGGTCACACACACAATCGTATGGCATTACGCATCTTAAGGATTATACAGCCTTTGGCTACAGGATTTTGTTAGCCGCGAACGCTTGTTCATAGAGCTCATTGAATTTGGTTCAGTGGCCGACACTCGATCGTCTCTCGGCCCCAACTAGCCTTATCTAGTTAACTCTAAGCTAGTTGCTATATTTCTAGATTCTGTTGTCTTTCGATTTAAGTTTCTCTCATTAGGTTCTAATAGTTTTCTTTGAATGCATGTTTGGTTCCTAGCAATATAGTTTATATACAAATTCTTTGATTTATTTAAATATATATATATATGTATACATATTTCTGTTGGTTTTGTAAAGCATTAGAGTATACCAAAGCCCGTTCCAATTTATATTATGAAAACCGTTTCACTTTCTTGGTTTGTTTTGTTACCTTTCCATTGGAATTATTCGCGTAAAACATTGCTAATAGTTTTACAAAAAAAGTGGATTCGAATGAGAGTGTATAGTACAAGACATTGATAGCACCTTCATATATGTTTCTATATGGGGTTTCCTTGGGTCTGAGGGTGGGGGAAGCTGAACAGAACAAAATGGTGAGGTCATACCTAAGGTATATACAGGGGTTTAAACCCGATCTATTTGATAGTTTGCTACGTCTCTCCGGCTTCTCCTGGGATATGCTTAGGTCTAGGCATCGGATATTTACAGTTATACAGTTAGCTAAGTCACCGTCGAATCTATCCAATAGTTTAACTACATTTGTTGTTCCCAAAACACAATTTGCGCGGCATAATGCATTGCTTATAAACTAATATATCCTCGAGTGTTATTGGTATTCCCTAGGGATAATGGGATCAGTGATCCTCTCAACATACAAGACTAACTTAAAGGGGCTCGCAATGGATCTCCCGGGGCCACACACCACAGACAGACTTAAGGGGGTGGGATTGGTTGGTTGGTTGGCTGGGTTCCTAATACTTTCGCTCTGATCAGAACTTATCTCTACGGGAGTGTCTGTGCGTGCTGGCCGTGTTCTATATCCACTTGTTTTTCGACATGGAGGAGCGGAGTCGGCGCCCCCACATCAGGTTGTATCATACAATCGTTCCCTGCAGATGCTGCGGCGACGACACCTGCGACGGCTGTTGACCCAGCGAGTCCTGAGCTTGCAGCGAACCGCCCGCTCCCGACGAGGTGCTCGGTCCCGGTCCCAGGTCTGCCGTATTGATTGCCAGCGAGGAGCCGGCTCCCAGCATTCCGCCCGTGGAGGAGCCGGCACCGGATGGATTAATACCACCGCCGCCGCCACCGCCCACGACACAGGGTACACCCAGCATGGGTGTGGGTTCCTCGGGCGGTGTCACCTGCAAGGAGATTTGATTCTAAAGGAAACATTAGTCCATCCTTGAAATATGATAAGTGTTATGGGAACCCACCTCCATGCCGATGCTGCCATTGAGCGATATCTTGATGGGATTACTGTGGTTCGTTGCCTGCATGAGGGTGGTGAAGTGACTGATGCCGATCTCCTCCAGCGACGACTTTCTCCGGCCGTGGCTAACGCCCACGCTGGGAAGGCCCTGTCGCAGGGACGAGGATCGACGGAGCAGGATGTCGTTGTCGATCTGCAAGAGGAGCAAGCGGGGAAATATCCACAAATAGTGGCAATCATTAGTTGGGTTAGTAAGCCCCAAACCGTGAGGTTATGATGCCAACAAAACTCAATTACGGTTACACATACAAATTGGCTATTGTTGCAGTTACTCAAAGAATCAAAACAAACACATTAAGAAGGAACACGTGTGAACTTCATTGCGCAATGCGACGCGATGGTGACATCTAAATTGATTTCTGGTTAGTTTTCTTATTTATTTTCATGTGATTTTCCTCTGAGTGCGAGCTATGACAATGATTTATTGCTGGTTGCTGTTGACTGTTGCAGTGGCCTTGCTGTGGCTTCGGCTTAGAGTTGCAGTTGCAGTGGCTGCCGTGCTGATTGGTGGAGTGTTCTGCGGCTAAAGTTTCTTTCGTTTTTGGAAATGAGTACCCACAATTTTGATGCTCAGTGTGAGAGTGCAAGTGCTAGGCCCCAAATGGCGGGGTGAAAGCAACAGGGGTGAACGCATTCGTTTGTTTTAGCCAATTTGTTGGAACAGAAAAATACGAACAATGAAACCAGGCTAAGACTAAAGTGTGTAGCTAGGTAAGAAGTGTTTCGTGTTCCTAATGCAAGGGTTTAAAAATTGATCAATGAAGTAAGATGCATAACGGCAAGAAAATTTGTATTAAGCTGCTTTAAATCTAACTTGAAAGTTGGTTGAAAAGTCAAAGTCACAAGGCATTTATAGTTTTCATATGGGCGTTATGCATCTTATAAAGTATATTGCCTTCAGTTATACCATAGTTTCAGCTTGGCAAACTTCCCTTAAATTCAACTTCTGTATCTTGATGTTTTTAAACATAAATCGAACAACGTGAAAAAGGTGAATCGAATTAAAACGAAAAAAACATATAGAGAGGAAGGTAGCAGTGTATGAGTGCACTTTGTGAGTGTGTGTGTGTGTGTAGTGGGTATAAAAGTAATAATAGCCAACCCGCAATGAGTTACTCCGTCCACGCTGATTGCCAACCACCGTCGGACTGTCGGGTAGAGAAAGAGAATTCGATTTAATTTGCTGCATCGGGGGGCTACAGCGCTGCGAGGATGATCCATACCCGGCCAAAGTCTGAACACTCTGCATTTGCATGGGGTTCAAACCGGCGATGCCGGAGCCGCGACGCGATCCAGCCCCGACGGCGGTGTTGGCCATGTTCATGTTCATGTTCATCTGCGGCATTTGGGGGCCGCAGGTGGCGCCCAGATTAATGTTCGAGCAGAAGGAGATGTTTGATTTGCGGCGCGAGTTGTGTCGCTCGAAGGTCTTTTGGGCCGAGAATGGCGAAGGTCTAACCAAGTAGCTGTCAAGGGGGAAATATGGTTTAAATTTCCATATAGTATATTCTTGAAGGATTAAATATTTATAGGGGGAATCAGCCCGACTTAACTCACATCAGATCGCCTTCCTCCAGCTTGAGATCACAGCTCGGATTGATTATCACATAGGACAGGTGGTTACGCTTCTCGCTCACATCATCATAGTCGATTGTGGGTAGGTTCAGGGACTCCATGCGACTCCTCACCAGATTCGCTATTTCCGCCCGCTCAATCTGCTGGGCATGGTTGTCCCTCGCCTCGTCGGCCAGGTTGATGGAATACTAAAAGAATCGGTTGGTTGGATTGTCATACACAGAAAGCCTTCATAAAACATATTTTCAAGGTCAGTTGGCCCGTGGAATTTATATTCTTTCTGATCCTGGGTTAGTGTGGTTGTTGTGCTGAAATGCAGACGGATGGACTGTGGATGGGCTTCACCATAGCTCGCTTGCTGATTTGGTTGCTTTTAGTTGCTGTGAATCATGCTACCATTACAAAGAGAACACCATGCCGCAGAAGCAGGGAACGATGCAAAATCAAGACTGACGTACCTGAGCCCATTATAAAACCCCTTAGGTTTCCCCCTGAAAATCTCTGCGGAAACACTCGGTCACGAGGGATGGTGCTTGATACTTACGGATGATCCCTTGCGCTCGGAGCAACCGCCGAGGCAGTTGACCGACCGCTGACGCTGCGGCTGCGACTGCGGCCGGAAGCTGCTGGCACCACCTGTTGCCGACGCCGGCGGGCGGTAGGTGACCCCCCGCAGCATTTCCGTAGAGTCCTTCGTCGAGTCGGGCGTGCCGGTCTCCTCGTCGTACTGAGGCATGCCCATGATTTGGTTTGGTGTATATTGGCGTATGCAAATTTGAGTTCGATGGGAGTTTGGTTAAACACAAGATGATTTACATATTTAATTGGTTTTTAATTGAAATGGCAAATTGCTATCGCTGTTCCACACTGAGTGTTGGTGTATGCAATATGTATGTATGTATCTGTATGTGTGGCATGGCACGGTGGTTGGTTAAGTTTGTGCCCTTAGCAAAAATGTAACATTTAGGTTTTTAGGTTCAAGCATGCCGCGGCAGGAAGGCGGCAGGCAAGGGTCCGCCTTCCCCTCCGCCAACTGTTAAATAATAAAGCGAATTTCTGGGAAATTAATACACGCGATTGTGTTGATCCAAAAAGAAGCCAGAAAGCAAAAAAAACTAGGAATAAGAGAAGGTGCAAGGGCAAGCGTTAGGCTGTTGTTCTTCAACTGCAAATTGGGCAAAAACAAACAAGTTTCGTCTTCTGGCAATACTCCTCTTCTACTTTCTAATTGAATTAAATTTTCGCTTTGCTCTCCAATTATCCCCAAAGTGGTTGAACTCGTATTGATTTTTAGATCGAGCAGGCATTTTTAATGAGCTTTCAGCGCGCGTCAAAGCAGGCACAACCGCTTTTGAATAATTTAGAGAGGTTTTTGTAGGTCGGAGAATGGGTTAGGGAAAAAAACAAGGTACAAGGCAAGCAACTGCAATCAGCTAATTAAAAGCCGCATGCAAACAACAAAGGAAACTGAAACGGTAACGGAAACGGAAACAAAACCAAACCAAATTAAAGCCGAAACCGGAAAAGCCAAACATGCAGCAGCCAACAGGTCACGCAGGAGCAGGAGCAACGCAGGGAGGGGATTCAGCTACAACTACCCACTCCCAATGAGGGCCAACAACTACGACTAGACTACACACAGTTTACACACCACACACGTACGATTAACGGATTGGAGGAGGCCAGGCTAGTGGGGCAGGCAGATGGGGTTGTATGAAGTGTGGTATTTGATTTTCTTTTTCGATTTCTCGATTTCAGTTTCGATTTCTCGCTTCAAAGGGAACTCACTGCGTGCGTGTGCGTCAGGTCCAATGCAAACGCAAATCAATTAATCAATTGGTACAACGGGTCGTATGTGTAATTTGTATGAGTAATTTCTCTTTTGGCCTGATCTAAATGCTCACAGAACGCTGTCTGATTTTTGTCTTCCTATAGCTCATGACAAATGCTAAATGAAGGCAAACAAAGTATAAAAATAATCCAAAACTTAGAAAGACGATCGGAGCTACGTAAAAACCAAAGTAAAATGGGAGTGGGAGTCGTAATCGGAGTCAGAATCAGCACGCTATGCTTTATATTCGTATTTATATATATATTTATACAAGTGTGTTTATATATCGTGGTAAAGGGGTTAGTTTACTTTAGAGGGTAGCAAAGTCGCTGCTAATGGCGTCAATCAAGCTTAGATTAATCTATGTTTTTACCAGTTTTTCGGAAAAGATTATATATATTCGGATGTAAATATGTATATATATATATATATATATATATATATAGAGAGAGAGAGATCGAGATAGGGAGTAAACTTATGCACTTAACGATATTGGAGGTACATATGCAAAACTTGTTACCATGATGAACAGACTTCAGACTCAAGGCAGTTATGTTAGTAGTAAAGCGTAAGCGTGTGATTGAAAATAGGAGACCAACTCAAGGATAGTGAAACCAGAAATCAAAATCAATAAGTAAGGAGTAAGGATTAGGCCTCGTCTCCATGGGGGTAACTCAATTCGATAATCGGCAACTCAGGTTAAGAAATCATTATCGCTTTCGGGTAGTTTACTTTCGCTGTGTTTCGGTGTGTGTACCTAATCGCAACTCGGAATACGAATACGTGAGCAAGAGACAAGAAAAAGAGCTATAGTAGAGTAGTAGTTATAGTAGAGTTAGAGTAGAGTTAGAGTAGAGCTAGAGTAGAGCTAGAGAGATAGAGTTAGACATAGAGAAACAGAGAGATAGACAGGCTAGAGGTGTGGCGAGTGTGTGGGTGAGCGTGGGTGTCAGTTGGGCTAGAAACAGATGTCCCGGCTCGGTCTTGAAGCTTGAAGATGTCTTGGATCTTGAGGAGATTTGCTTTTTGCTATTTGCTTTTTAGCCTTTTGCTGTTTGCTGTGACTGGACTCACCGATGGACGCAAGCGCACACAATGTCTGCTGAAGGCGGAGAAGGGTCCCCATCTCTCGACCGGCGAGTTACTCACATGAGAGGTGTCCGCATTCGAGGTGTCCTGGGTGCGGTAAATGCCAATTGGTATTTCGCAGGTGGTGGAGCAGAGCTTCTGGTACAGCCGGCCATAGGTACGTATCCACATGTCGTCTTTGGTGATGCGCATCTGCAGTGTATTAGCGGTGTTACTCTCTCTCTCTATCCCAGAGTCCATTTGCTGATTAGTAGCACTCACCGAGGTCAGGAAGCCACTGCCCGGGGCCTGGTCGATGCCCAGCAGAAGCCTCACAAACGTAATCACATAGTCCTTGACGAAGGCCTGGTACAGCAGAGTGTCCAGCATGGAGGCACTGAACACGGCTCCGGCGGCAAAGGGCAGGCGGAACATGTAGGAGATGTGCGACCCGCGCTCCTTCTCGCGCTGCAATGAAGTGAGCGGCAAATTAACCAAATGACAGCTGAAGGCTGGGGGCGGAGGCCAACGCGCTACCGACCTTCTCCATTTTGCTCAGATGCAGAGCGTACTTGTCGTGGGCCCGGAACTGCATGAATCTCATGTTGGAGCTCTGCGATAGCTCCGTGATGCTCTTGATGCTGGGAAAGAACCTGAAAGGGATGTCAGGAGGGAAGACTATTAGAATTCCGTGGAAATTCCAGCACACTCACTTGAACATGTTCTGCACGGCCACAATGGTGTTGCAGTCGGAGAGGGAATCCTCCTCGGCCGAGTTGGAGAGCTCCTTGTTAACCACCACCACGCTTTCGGCCAGCGTGATGCCAGCCCTCAGCAGATCGTCCAGGCAGTCTATCGAACCCAGCATCCAGTAGACCTAATCAAAGAGATATATTAAATGTTACTCATAGGGGGAGAATGTCAAATTACCAATGGAAAGTAGGAAAGGGCATCTAAGAAGGCCACGTCCGGCCTGCGTTCCAACAGCAGGATGATGGGATTCAGGGAGGTCTTCGACCTGAAGTGAGCTCTCAGCGGAATGATGAAGTTGTAGATGCCATTGGAGGCGTAGTCCGCTGCCAGGATAATGGTTTTGTTCTGCCACTGGTACTCCTTGGCATTCCGATAGCTGCAGTGCTCGCAGACCTGTAAAGGATATTTGATGGCGTCTCCCCAATGAAATGGAATGGCAATCAGTGACATCTCTCACCTGAGCTAGCTGCAGGCAGCACAGAGGCTTCTTCTCCTTGAGCAGGTAGCAGAGCGTGGGACTCACGCCGATGAAGGGCGACACGGGCGGAAAGCCCTTAACGATGCTGGAATGGCAGACAGTTTTCGTTTAGCGATGGCTGCTCTTCCCAGCGGGGCAGGGGCAGGAGCAGGATGTGGATGAGGATAGCGGTTGGGTTAGCTGCTCTGTGGGTGTGCGGGGTGGCAAGCTAGGTGTGTGCTGGGACACGATTCAAACGATTCAGCTACAAGGTACAAGTAGGGGGATTGAGTTTCTGGGGGAAAAAATGCAAACTACTGGCATTTCCAAAACATTCACTACGGATTAACAAATGGCTGAACTGAAAGTGTGATTTCCTGGGGTCCTGCGGAGAATGGCACCTCTTTTTCCTCCTCCCGACTGCGGATGAGGGCGAACTTTTGGCCGCTCCCCGGGAGCAGACTCTGGAAATGAAGGCACAATTGAAGCCGAAAGCAAAACAAAGGCAAGACAAGGCAAGGCGCAAGCAGAAGCAAATGCAGATGAGATGAGGAGACCCAGGGCAACAGCAATCACAGCAAACGGAATAGTAACGAATCTCGAGCTGCTGCTCCGTTGGTCCAAGGTAAACGGCGGCGTCATTAAAAGATGTCCTGCGGCAGGCAAACAAAAGCAACAGCAACAAGGAACCAAGGAACGAGTAACAACGACAAGAACTCTTCAACAAATGGCGTGTGTCCGCAGAATGGCTTGGCGCGTTTTGTCGCTTCCCTCGTCAGACTTACCAGGAGTAGTCGGCGACCCACACAGGACGCACCGGCCGACGCGTCTCTACGGAACTGCTTGACGTGAATGCCGTAGCCCCTGCTCCTGCTCCTGCTCCTACACCTGCTACTGCTGCTGCTGTTGTGGTAGTTGTGGTGGAGCAACTGCAGGAGCAGCAGCGCTGCAACTGTCGCCTGCGAGCCGCCAGCCTGGCCAAGGCTCCTCCACCCAGGCCCAGACCCAAGCCCATACCTGTTCCCATTCCCATTCCCATTCCGGGAACACTGCGGCACTCGCTGTCGCAGCTGAAGCTCTTCTTCATGACGCGCCTGCGCAACTGCGGAAGATACTCCTCGGCCAAGTCAATGGAATCACCAGTGGAGTCACCAGCATAGGCATTTGGATTAGGAGCAGCAGCAGCAACAGCAGCGGAAGCGGATGCGGCAGCAGTGGCATGGCAGAAGCTGCAACTGTGCTGATTCGAATCCTCCGAGGAGCTCATGATGAGCGAATAGGTGCGCGATTGGGGAAAGTGCCCGCCCAAGCAGCTGAGGCGAAGTGGTCGATTCTCGTTAGGTTTGATGTGTTCAGAGAGGGTGGTGGTTATATAAGTAGTAAGTAGGGTAGAGGATGGGGGGTCTAGTGCTTAAATACAACATATACATTTTTACATTCAGTTCGAGTCCAGCAATCCTCACAGATGGAGCAAAGATAATATAATAAATAAGATGCGTAGCACCATATGTTCTTCTTGCAACCTAAAGTTTGTACAAGCGTTACGCATCTTATAAGACATGAAATAAATTTAAAATGTAGCTAAGAAAACACAAATAAAATCTAGAAATTATATAAAGAACATAAAAATAACTTTGATCACCTGGGGATTGCTGAGATCAGACTTCCAGACTATATATATATATACACAGACTCGGGTCGAGATTAGTAGGTCGCTAAGAAGTACAGTTAGTGATACACAAACGTGTTACAATCGGGCTGAGGGCTAAACTCTATGTAGATAGAGACACTACACTTTGGGGGGAGAGTGGGGGGAATCGGTGCCTCGGTATAGTGACAAAAGGGAGACATTACGAAGGCCATCAGATGGGCGATACTCACGCAATCTTTTCCGAGGGAGAACGCCAGGGCATCTCGTCGTCGATTTCATCATCGCTCTCGTCTCCCTCATCGCCATCGTCATTGCCCGCGATGCTGAACGAAGATGAGGTGAACATGTCAGGCACGGGAAGGATCGAAGGACGTCTGCTACCTGAAGAGGAAAAGTAGAAGTTCGGAAATGCATTAGAAATATTTTGGTAACTAATGTTTTTGGGAACTATGTATTAAATTAACTAGCTAGCTTACCCCTCCTCTGGTTGAGCACATCCGGACTGAGCAGGTTTGGGTTGTTGGCAAAGGGCACGTCCAGGTGATTACCCGTTGTGGTCAGAGTGGCTGGCGTGATGCTCAGCGAGGTGCCCATGCTGTGGCCAGTGCCCACCCCAAGGCCACCACCGCCGCCCGATCCACCGGCCATGCTTGGGGATCCCATAGCCTGGGGTGGCGGTGGCAGGGTTGTAGTTGTTATCGTCGTCGTGGTCGCCGCCGTCTGGGTCACCGTCGTGTCCTTGAGGTTCTGGCGGGAGTCCGAGATTATCACAGCCGTCGGATTATCGCTGGCTGGATGGGGAGAGCGGAGAGTGCAGTTAGTCCGCGTTAACTTGTCGATCAATATCCATTCTAATTACGACTACTTTGGCGCTTGCTATACAGGATAAAAGGTCCACTAATTTCAGCTGAGCGAAAAAACAGGTGACGGAATATAAACAGAGAGAGAGAGAGAGAGAGAGAGCGAGCGAAGGCAGGTGGGCGGAAAATCTACAGGACAAACCTGGGGAAAACAACTCGTTAAAAGTCCTCGACAAGATTGCACTGGCCGGGAAACTTTCGGCAAAGTGATTAAGCTGCAACTTTGCCAAAACGTTGTCTTTCCCTGTCCTTGGCAATAGTTTTCGGTTACTTAATTACAGAGGCGGCACAGGGTGAGGGTTGGGGCGGTGGGCATGGCTTAATTTGAGCGCACAACAAGCTTAACTATAAACTATTTCTACGCAGCTAATTTACACGAATTGTTGCGAGTGGTGGAAATATTATTTACATTGTTATGGAAATACCATCAAGACATCCAAGACACATGCGCACACACACCAAGGCAAAACGGAAACGGGAGAAAGTGCAGGGACTGGCAAGGCGGAGAACGAGAAGAACGGAAGTTGAGAAAGTGAAAAAGTGATGTTTGAGCAAAGACAACTACGAAACGTGTGGAAAGAGAAGCCAAGTGAAAAATGAAGCAAACACCGAAAATAGTTTTGCGTAGTGGAAAAGCGAGGAAAAAGAATATGTTAGAGGGTAAGGCTAGGATAGGTGTGGTTTCTGGGGTGGACCTCAGTCATTTTCGAATTTTGATTATTTGTAAGTGTAATTTTGTTACAGAAACTCATCTCCTAATTTGTAAATGTTAAGATCTAATAGTAATATAATATTTAATGAAAGTGATAAAAGCGTATATTATTGAAAAATTTCATAATTAATAATTACTTTAAAAGATGCTATAACAATTAGTTGAGAATTATAAGCAGTTGAGGAATTAATGATATTTTCATAACCTTCTGTAAGTTAAAAGCTTTTATGTTATGTTAATATCTATCTTTATAATAATTATGAAGGAATAATAATTATTCAATATTCTGTTATCTTTAAGCTCTAACAACTTAGTTAAGAATTATAAGACCTTAAAGCAATTAATGATATTTGAATTGTTTTTCCTTAATACAAATTATTCATTATTCTCTGAGCTATTAACTTCATAAACTACTTTACAGTTTCATATATTTATTCTCAAAATAATAATAGAGTTAAATATTTCACCATTAACTGAAGGTCCACCCCAATTAACGTATTTGAAATGTGTGTTTGTGTCGCTGAGTGTAAGAAACAGGAATGCAGAAACGGTTTTTGATGGCAGCGGAAATGTGTGTCTTGACATGGGTAGCGGTGAAGAATGCGAAATACGTGGGGTTTTTGTTATAAAGACAGCTCAAGCTTGAAAATCGGGACAGCGAGAGATATAGCTTGGATATGTGGACAGAGTCTGTTTTTTTTTTGTGAGTGAAAAAGTGGGACAAAGAACGTGTAAGAAGACAAAGGCGAACGTAATATTTGTGTTTTGCTTCATTTTTTTTTCTCCATCAAAAGATGGGGTTTTTCTTGACTTGGTGTGGGGTGTTTTTTTTGGGGTTTTTTTTGGTATTGGTATTTGGTATTTGGTATTTCTGGTGTCACACTCACGCACAAATAGTGATGCAAACTCGCCACTGTCTGGTGTTTGCATTGGCGGATGCGATTGCGGATACGATTGCGGATACGGATACGGTTGCAAGTGGGTGGTGCCGGCGGTGGTGCCACCACCACTATCGTAACTGGGACTGTGGGGCACACGCACACAAACAGACGGCACTGGTGGTGGTGCGGCTGCTGCTGCATTTAATGTTGCATTTATTGTTGCTGTTGTTGTTGATGCTGATAGTAATGTTGATGATGTGAAGGTTGTGCTAATTGTTGTTGCTTGTATTGTTGTTTTAATTGGAGTTGTTGTTGTTGTTATTGGAGTAGTTGTTGTAGTTGTTGGAATAGCTGTTTTGTCATAGTTGGATGATGATTTTGTTATTTGTATTTAAGACATTCACACAAACATTACTTTAAACAATATTGCAAGTGTTTTTTTTTTAATTTTATTTGGAAGCTACTGTCAGGAGTCACCCTAAAATAATTTCTTTCAGTCGGATTTCGATTTAAGAGTTTTGAACTGAATGGTATTTGGATTTGTTAAAGAAAGACTCCTGAGTGCCCTGAGTCCTGTTCTTAAACAAATACAATTTTAATCAATTTAGAAATTCAATTAAACAGGTTCAATCACTCTAAAAAAGTCCCTTATTTATTCTTAATTGTAATCAAAAAAGGAAGTCAGTCCAATGTAATGTGGGATTGGTGTAATGTTGTTAATATGTGTGTTTAAGGGGTTATAGACGTAAGCTAACCTAATGTAATATACCCCAGGTGTGGTCTAAGGCCAGGTAATTATCCCAAGCCTAAATAATCTAAAATGAAACTAAGTTACTTCTAAAGGACATTCCCTTTGGGGAACTATATGCGTGTTCTTCTGGTAAATGTTTTCATATTTGTTATATAATTGTTGCAATTTATTTTAAGGACAGCTAAAGTTAATAAAGCGGTTAAGTTACTCCCTCGCAGGAAACATTAATTAACGAAATGGAACACAAACAAATTGATTTGGGTGGAAGAAAGGTTCACAGAAAAACACAAGAAATCAAATCGGGCCAGGCGAATACTGTGATTAACGTTAATTCGAGGCAGACACACCGAAAGCGTTTTCTTTTCATTCAGACAAACCAAACGAACTGAAAACTGGGGGGAAATCGACAAAGGAAAACTTTTAACTCAGCCTCAAAAATAAGGAAAATCGGATAAATAGAATAAGAGCGAGAGAGATAGGAGAGAGAGAGAGAGCAAGAACTTGTTGCTAAATAAGGAAAGCTCATAATTTATATATATATCATATTTATGTTCGTATGTAAATGGGTCTATATATTAAGTAGTTCATTCATTCACCCTTAAACGCTCGGACCTCACTCACACGCACACACGCACTCAGATATCGAAGGGATATGGAGGAGGGTCTACCCACCAGTTGCAGCCGCGGGATGAGTGGAGGCGGAGGCGGAGGTAAGTCCACCTCCCTCTTTGCCAGCTGCCGCCGGATCCGATGTTTGATTTTGATTAACGACAAATGCGGAATTCTCCTCCTTGGTTATGCTCATATAATAGCACGTGTCATCCTTTTTCATAATGTGCCTGGGCCCGGGGTTCAGCAGAATGGTATCCTCGTAGAATTCCGGCAGCTCCGCCGGACGCACGCCCACCAAGGCCACGCCATATCTGCAAAAGGATGTCGAGTTTCGTTTTGTATTTATTTTAACCCAAATTCCGGCTCCAAATGGACGACGGAATCCCATCAAGCTTAATACTCACTTGCGATGCGAATGGAAGCTGGCGTAGGTGAAGCTCTTGCCCTCGTACTCCCCAAAAAAGCGGCTGTCGCCGAGCACAATGTGGTAGATCTCATTGCCGGAACACTTGCCATACAGGCGGTGCCACTCCTCCGGACTCTGCTGGCCCTCCCTGCATACGAAGCGAAAGAGAGAGAGAGAGAGAGTAGTGCCTTTAATTTCGCGGTTCAAGTCATGAGAAATGCATGAGTCACGGCTCATTTGGTGCCCCAATTAACGTTCGCTGACATCTGATTAACGTGGCCTTTCACGGCTCACGGAAACTAAAATCCGCATTTAATTGAAGGTTACCACAAAGCCACCTTCCCTTAGTACTTCTCAGCGTTCATCTAGTCATCACACTTGCCGAGAGACAGGTAAAGTTTCCTGTTTACCTGTGGCATGTCACAGCATCCGTTTAATTAAAACTGTCATTGGAAGTTGCATGTGAGAAGAGAGGAAACTAATCCTGTCGTTTGAAGTAAGCTCATAAGTTTTTAATTTATTTTCAATCTCAAAACCGCTTAAAAGAGGGTTTTAAAATGAATGATTTTAAGCATTTTAGTTTGATTAGAAAGCGTATTATATCTAGAAATAGTTGAGGGTTTACCCTAATTCCTACCTAATTCCAACCCTTAAATTTCATTGAATTGATTACAAAATTGAAATAAACGTTGCTGTAATAAACTGAAACTATTATTTCAATGTCAATGCTAAAATGTTTCAGCTGAAATTCACCAGAATTGACTTTAATGTGGAGAACTCCCCCAAAGCAAGTAAACGAAACTCTAACGAATTGCGGCTTTCCCCAACCAGCTTATGCAGTTAGCCACCCACTCACCTAGAGTTAAGCTAAATTAGCTGCCCCCACAAAAAAAATATATACATAAAGGCCGCAGGAAAAACGTCTGAATGAGCAATCAAGCGGCTAGCTCCTCCGCCGGTGACGTGACGCATCCAAGCGAGCCGATGACGCACAGCGGATAGAGAACTTTTTGCATGTGTGCTGGGCCGGGCCAGGATAACAGTTAAGAGTTAACAGTTGACCGGCCAGCGAGGAAACAAGAATACGTGGATACCTAGATACCTGGATACGTGGGTGAGGGGATAGGATAATGTAGATACGTACTGGCCGCGGGAGGTGTGGAGCAGCAGGGTGACCAGCGTGCTGGCACCGGGACAGGTGCAATTGTTGGCCAGCAGGGCGTACTTGAATTCGTCCTCGCAGACCACGTGCTCCGCGAACTTCACATGCAGCTTGTGCTCCGGCCTGCGGAACGGGAAATGGGAAATGGAATTTCCGCAGGATGTTCGTTTGGTGGCATTCCATTTCGATGCGTCGAAGGTTCGTTTGGCATTTGCAAAAGTCAGAAAAGATCGAATTTATTTGCAACAGAACAGAGAGTGTGGGGACGGAAGAGCCTGACTACCCACCTGAAAATCTGCACATACTGCGGCACATTGGGCGCAAAGTCCTTGACGGCCCAGGAGCGTAGGATGGTGTGCTCGTCGGCGGCCGTCTTATCAGCATAGTTCCTGGCCGCCAGAATGAAGCACGCCTCCGCCTCGTTCATACGGGCGCGTGCCAGGTCGCCATCCTTCAGACAGGAGCCCTGCAATGGCAATGTCGCGTGGGAATCCCCCACACTTACCGTTACTCACGGTAACCAAGCCAGAGATTACAGTCAAGTCGCACCTGAATGTAGATGACGCGCTGCGCCCAGATGGGCACCTGCAGGATCATCCGCATCGTCGTGTCCAGCTCCATGGGACTGAGCAGCACCACATAGAAGTCCTGCAGCAGCGGGTGGGCGTAGAACTCGTTGAGGAAATCCATAATGGTGTCCGCATGGAGTGTGGTGGAGCACACCACCACATGCTTCTCGCTCTGGGCGCGATGGGAGCTATAGCTGCCGCCCAGTTTCTGTCGCTCCATCCACGTGAAGGCCAGTTGTTCAAACTGTGAATGCATGTCACCATAAATAATAAAGTTATTAAATATCGATGGAAAGTTTCTTTAAATTATCAGGATAGGGTCTTTCTTATAAAATTCAGATGACCTTTGTTTCGTTTAATTCAATTTCAGGCCTTGAAATCAATTCAATTAAAGATTCTGACATTTTTTTTTGTGTAGCAACATTTTGGTCAAAACGCTTGCAACTTTATTGGGGAGACGACGTCCGGGGATTATAAATTCTGCAGCATATTGACATGCACTTGGAGCTTTTAGTGCTGGCCGAACAAAAGTCCCTTTGCCGTCCCCGAAACTACTCCCATGTCCAGGGAAAAGGTATAAAAACTGTTTTGATGGATGCTTCTGTTGTTTGCTATTTGGCGAAACGGCCAGCAACGGTCACTCATATTTCTAATGCTCTTTCTGTATGGGATGGCTATCAGGGGATAATGGCTAGGACAAAGTACGTTAATGGGTTCCATTTACTATAGTCATTACATATCCTTAGTTAATAATACTTCCTGCTTTCTAGCCTGACTTTTACTTCATCTAAAACTTAATGATCCTGTCATCATCTTTATGTGGCTTTAGTAATCCCTATGCCTATCCATCTTCGCAGGGTATATCCTCATCGCCATTCCAATGTCTTGATTTTTTCTAGCTTGTATTTCCAGCTGGAATCCCTTACTCCTGGTACTCCTACATTTGTTTTTGTTGATAAAACAATTGTTTGCAAATTGTTGAACATGGCAGTCAGTCAGTCAGTCAGGACAGACAGCGAACGAACGATTCCCTTCGACAGCATCTCTCCCCCTCGCATTCATTAATATCGATTGATGGCCAAAGTCCTCCCATCTGCGCACACAGATGCAGATGATGGATGGGGATAAGGATAAGGATTGTGTCCTGGCTCGTGGAGCATAAATATTTGATGTGGCTTCTTTGACCACCCATAAGATGGCTTTTAAATGGAACTATTTGGAAATGGATACGCAGTATACCAATGCGATCCCATATAAATTAGATCCCTGGACTCACCTGCGTGGGCAGCACAATGAGGGCAACGCAAATCATGATGACCATGTACAGCTGCGAGGGCCAAATGTCCGGCACAAAGTCACCGTAACCCACTGTGGAGAAGGTCACAACCACGTAGTAAGTGCTCTGAAAGAGGTTTAAATGTCGGTGTCCAGCACGCTGGAAGTGCTGGATGCCACAGACGCTAAGGGGAAATAAAGGGAAACCTAAGATTAAACAAGTTTAAGGAAGAGTTGAACTTATTACCTGGTAAATACTAGACACAGTAAGGTAGCTGAGAGTATGGTCAGTTGCTGGGAGAGCGCCGACTGGGACTTTTGCATGGCGCGATGAAGGTCATTCTGAAGGTTGAAGTTCATACAAAAAATTCTAGTTAAATCTCTGTAAAAGATAAGAGTTAAAGCTAACTCACAAACATATTCTCCAGCGATCGCTTGGCCAGCCAGCAGTTGAGGAAAATGGGAATAAAAAGATTGCGCAGAGGAGGATGAACGATCTGAAGGTAAAAGGTTATAGGTTAAAGTAATCTTAACCAATCTGTAAAATCCAAAAAGGACTAACCGTTAGTGCAAAGGGTATTGTCGTTACTAATTCTAGTATAAAGTGAAATGAGAGTATCTGCTGCCAGATGTTGCCCTGTAAATAAATTAGATATTAATAAAAAGGTTCCAAAGATCTTAATAAGATCAGGACTTCACCTTATAGCCTAGATATGTGAGAACCAAGGATTGCGTTAACGACACCATGGCTAGAAGCAGCTGCAGGACCCAAAGCACTGTCGGCCTATTCACCCAGAGTATGGCGTCCCAGTTGATGATGGGGTTCTCCTGGAATTCCTCGTCCGTCAACTTGGCCGAGATGATGAACTCCGTTTTATTGGCCACTTCGCAGCCATAGCTGTAAATAGAGTTTCCATCAATCAATCAATCACTCTTTGGAGACCTCCTCTGCCCGCACTTACCATGTTATAAATGTTGGATTTTTATCCAATATCACACGTATTATGTAGAGAACACACGACAGTAACTTAAGGAATAAATCGACGATTCGTATGCGCAAGCCTTTTTCGGTAAAGCAAATAAATATACATTTATTTATATATATATAGAAGGGAAGAAGCATAGGAATTTGGGTCAGTTGGGTGAATTACAATGTCTACCAATGTTTGTCCTTAACCCTCCTTCCTTATAACCACCCACGATGAAGCCGAGACCTGTGTTTACCTGTTCAATTATTTCGTTTCCAAATCAATATTTACCTAAGATTATCGAATTCGCCTTTGTAATGTCATTCGTTTGTTCGTCTGTCTGTCTGTCTGTCTGTGTTTTTGTGGGCATTTCCTTCCGTCTCCGCCACTAATCAAATTCAATTAAATGCTACCTTGTTGATTGTTGTAGTTAGGCTTTCAGTTAATGCAAAGACAATACTTACTTGAACGCTGATTCTTAATGAAATAGAGTTGCAGTCTTTCTTTAAATGTGTTTTCGTTCACATAGTACTCCACACGAACTCTGCAACGAGAGGAGAAAACGGTGCATTTCTGATGATTGAGCTTCTAAATTGACTTGTCGAACAAAGCCCCCCATAAAAACCCTTGTTCCTTGGCAAGCTTTTGTACCCGCCAATCGAATTTCCCTCCCTGTTGGTGCTCGTTGCACTTGACAATTGATGCGCTTACTTATCACATTAAGCGACGCAGCTGGCTGCAGGTCCTTTATTGAGAGAAATTCTTAAAACTTTTGAAAATGGTAAAAATATATATATTTAAAGTATTTAAAAGAGACTAGAACAAAGAGAAACTCTCAGATTTGTTGAGTATTTATATCAGAACCATTTCTTAAAATTAATAATAGTATATTATAACTAACTATTATATTTATAACTATTTCTCCATGTGTAAGTGGTTAGTGCGTGCAGCTAAGTATCTGGCAAGTACCCCAGAAATGCGTTGGTAAAAAGGAAAAGGGATGAGGAGAAACCAGTCACCAGGCAACCCTGCACACACGTGACTGCTTAGGTCCCACCCCACAGCCCTTCAAGGACGAAGGGCGTCTGCCAGTTGCCCTGTGATAAAGCGGCGTGAATGAGTTACCAACGATGATAGTCTGTAGGAAGGAAATCATATTGATTTGCTCCTTAACTAGATCAAAGGAAATGCTTCCACTTTTCCCATTATATTTTAAAAGCTACAGAAAGTGCTAGAGTAAGTGCCTACAGGGTAAGTTCTGCTCGACTACTCACTCTTCTTTGTACTTATTCATACTTGGCTGCAGCTGCAACAGTGCTGCTTTAAATGGGGAAAGAGTTTTACAGCTCAAGCACCAGCCCACATGGCGTATGAGCAACAAAATGCGAAGCTTACGTCTGTCAGGGTCTAGAGCTGGATATTTTTTATGCTCTGCTCGTGTATTGCATTAAGAGTCTCAGTGTCTGAATATTCAAAGTGGCGAAAAAACATTTGCGGGTCAGCCAAGAGGACACTTGACTGCACAAGACACTGGCAGCCTGGTTGCCCGGTTGCCTGGCTGCATGGGTTTTAGTAATTAAAAGGATGGCTTAAAGTGCAGACAAAGGAAACTTGAGCGAGATTCAATTAACTGGTTGCCACCTTTTTAGCCTTTGTTCTGGCCAGTCTCTCCATTATTCTCTGTGTCCCAGCTCATTTCGGGGGATACTTGGCCACTCTGAATATTCATGTCAAGGTTAAGAAACCGAACGAATAGTTCAAGTGGCTCCCGGCACCAGAAATGGCACCTTGGGGGCCATTCGACGACCAAGGACGATGACTGCCAGTGCTAGTGCGTGGCGAAATTAACGAGCATGGCCCAAACCATAGCACACATTGTGGCAAGTGACCAATCAGTTATGGCCCGGCCAGAAGCCAGGAGCGAAAAAATAGCAACCAGCAAAAGGCAGCATACAATCAACTCTGACCTGCCCCCGAAGGAGATCTCGCCCTGCTCTGCGGTTAGCTCTCGGGCGCAGCGTTCATTCCCCTCTTCCTACTGCCGGCCATTGAACGCGGCACAATCGTCGGCCAGCTGGCCATAAGTTCGGGCCAAGACTCGCCGTAGAACGGTTCAACAATCACTTGTCACTTGTGAGCCACATTTCGTCGCTTTAAGTCTTTAGTGGCGAGCAAATAAAATAAATCGCATTTTACTCCACAAACATAAACACATGCAATATGCAATCAAAAGTTTGAATTATTTGCATTCCGTTTGCATGCAAATATTTCCATAAAGGAAAATAATTGTGAAAACGATGGCAGACCAAAAACTATTCAAATGTATTTTTAAATAAAATTCAGACACTTGTGGAGAGTTGATTGTAATTAAGTGAAGTTCTTTTATGCGACTTTTAAAACTTCACCTTTATTGTTTAAATTAAGACAAGGTCTTGGTTATTTATTTTTGCATTTTTATACATCTTTAATTTGCAAACTTTTCCAACTGAAATAATTGTCTAGATGAAAACGGACCAGAAAAGTTGGCTTAAGATTTGTAATTGAATATGGCGCAATTAAAACTTTTGCTAACTTTGGTCTGAAGTAAGAAATATATTCAATTAAAGCTGACTTGTGATTAAATTTTTCTTCTATTACTTAAATTATTTGTCTTAGAATATACCATGAAGATAACGTAGAACTTACATAAAATGTTCTTTAAATAACCATTTCCAAAATTTAAATACATTTAAGCTTCCCTTGTATTATTAATATTGTTTTTACATCTTTAATGTGAACTTGGCAAGCCCAAATAATTGGATTTATCCCCGCAGGAACTCTCAAATTTGCCTATGTGAAGTTTTGAGCTGCGGTTAGAGCGCAAAGTTATGAACTTTTAAAGTAACCCCCAACTTGGACTTGGACTTAAATTGATTCGCCCCTTGTATCAAGGCAGCTTGCCTTGCTCCTGGCCTGGCTTCTATTTTCTTAGCCAAGAGAGAAAGCCAAGCCGAGCTGAGCTAACGACAAATTGCACGTTAATGTGTTTTTGTTGTGCCATCATTTGATTATCCACAGATATTGAGTTTAAAGCTCTCTAAAATGGGCAAATGGGCAGCCCGCGGCGGGATGTGCTTAGATTGTTTTACCTTTATTGATTTTTGATTTGGCGCTTTTTTTTAAGGAAAATTTGATTTAATTTCGTGTGCGTGGTGGGCTCAGCTCAGGTTTCTGCTTCGTGTCGAGATTTGATTACAACTCCTTGATGAAATTGCGCTCGAAAGGAACGAGGCAACGAAGCCCGGCAAATCAAAGGCCACAAAAGGAGCTCTGGGAAAATGCCTAACATAACAAGGCCGGCCGAAAGCGAAAGCAAAAGGTTTTTTGTGCTCTTTTTTCGGTTTGTATGTTCCGTCTATACAATGGTCCAATGGCAAGGGATCACAAAGGCGGACAAAAGACACCATCTAGGCCATGCGTGGTCTCAGGTACCCACAAATTGCAACTCAGGGTTGGGGCTTTTCGCTTGTTTTGTTCTCGGCTCCATGCATGTTTATTGCCGCCCTGATGAGGCGGCATTCCCTCATAAGTATCCCCGCTGAAGTATCCATTAAGGAAGCTGCATTGATTGCGTCTCGTAAAAGGTTAAGAGCTCTCCGGGATATTCACTTATTTATGTCCGTGCAAATGACAGGCGGAATTCCTGAAATTACTCGAGAAAGGGAATGCATTTTGCATCAAGGACTTCCGGCCTTAATTTCACAGAAATACTAAAATACTTAAATATTTATGGGGGGAAATTCCCACGAATGAACCCTCCTCCTGCCCCACCAACTTCTTGATTGTGTGTATAAGCTTTTAGTTGAGACTCTGATTCGATTATGAATCGACGCCTGGCTGCCACTTTGACCTGTTAATGGCAATCACGATGCTCAAATCGAATTTCGAATTGAGTTAGGTCGCACGGGGCGTATGCGCGATGTCCGCGTTGCCCGGGGCTTACCTGGGTATTCGATCGTAGGAGTCCCACGAGGAGAGACAATTGTAGGACGAATTGCGACTATTGCCCGCCATATTGCATAATAGATGATCCATTGGCTCGAACCGACGCGGCACGCAGCACTTTAGTTAATTTCACGTCTCTTCGATCACTCTGTCAAATTGCGTTGCATTTTCGATCACCGACGGCGGCCGGAGGGTTTCACTGATATGTATATATGTATATTGATTGACTCTTAAAGCCGACGATGTACCGGGATGCCTTTTGGGAATATTGTGGATATAGTGAGTGGATAGTGGACTTTAATTCCAAAACACTTGGTACTCTGGTACTCTGACGGCCGCGCTTCGACTCAACTTTAATCAAAATTGATTGCCCTGGCTGGGCAATTAATTTTGTTGTTTGAACACGCAATTGAGGACAGGATACATGGGCGAACACACTGGCACACACACTTATTTATAGCTTGTTTAACATGATTTTTTGTTGTTGCTGCCCATGTGGGGGTGTTCTTTGTGTGTGTTCTTTGGCCATTTAATAAATTTATTGCCCTAACGGCCACAGCCTTGAAAAGCGAAGTGTGTAGGGATGGTGTCCTCATTTTGTCATTAAGCCCTGTTTTTCTTTTTTACACTTTTATTGTCATTTGCTACTACATTTACTCTATACCTTTCAGCCATTGCCTGGTTTTACATTATTTTCAACTTTCCTTTTCCATTTGCGCAATTAATTAAAATACATGAATTGACTGGAATAATATTTTCCTTTCCCTCCCGCTCGCTCTTTCAATTGTTAATCCAGAATTCAATTGTAAAATCATTCAATATTTAAGAAGCACGCTGCTTGGCAGCCATTTTATTCATTTTGATTGCTTTTTAATTGCAAATTCATGTTGCCAGATTCGTTAAAGTGTCGTTACGGAAGTTAACTCAAACCAAGGCCAACAAATAGCACTCCCCCCAAAAAAAGAGTCAATGAAATTTATTGCCTTTGACTTTCGCTGACAGACACAGAAGCCAAATCATTAGACGTGACCTGAGAAGTCTCGCTAAGTGACACATTGATAAATGATGAACTCAAGGACACTTTGCGGTCTTTATCCCATTCGAAGGATTTGATTTGGTGTCTGTCTTTAAGATGAGAAGCTGGAGGAGCACTCTGTGCTCCCCAACCACCTTTTTTGGGGAATCTGTAATTTAAATTGCTCGAGGACTGGCCTTAAGCCATCTGCTGCTTGGCTTTATGGCTTTTGGGGTTTGCAGGGACTTCAATTAAAAAATCCAAGAGAAATCCAAGAAAAATCTAAGAGAAATCTTTGAAAAGGACTTTTTCCCTTTTACATTTGTCTATGAACTTTGAACTTTAGCGAGGACAGTTACAGTTACAGATTGATTCACTTTTCCCTTTCAAGCTGCGCTCTCTAATGCACTTTTTATTTATTTATTCAATCTTTGAATGCAAAGCAACGACAATGACAAAGATAAAGACTGTCTTCAATTATTTAGGCTTTCGATGTGATTAATCGAAGTGCTTTCTTTGGAAATCTCATGCGTGCCGGGGTCTGT